ACTGGAAAACCTGAGGTTTTCAAACTTCTAAAAGACTTGCAACTAAGGGTTGTTTTTTTTTTAATGCTAGTTTAATGATCCAAATAGTCTCAAGTGAATAGTATGTGTGCCTGTAATTATGATGCATAAGGTACTGTTTTTAAAAATGCCATTGCTTTGTAAATAAAGCTCTTCAGGCATGGCAACACGGAAATTATACCACCACCAGATATACTTAATAGTGAAAAGATTGCGAACCACTACAGAAGTAATCCTGGAGTCTATATGAAGATAACTAAGGAATGCAACTTTTATTCCCAGTTCACATAAGGCATTGATCTCTTATAGTCAAAGCTGGGTTATTCCACATTGTAAAAAAAAATTTTTTTCCACTTATCTTTCATATAATAGGACTCTTAACTTACCTTAAGGATTTAGACATATTTTATGCCATCATAGCACCAGTTCCATATTGAAAAACATCAACACTAAAAGAAAGAACTGGAATGAAAATCTTCTACCTGTGGAGGATACTGCATCACATGCTATAAAGTCCTGAATAAATAGAAATAATGGATAAGATAAAATTAAGAATGCATATCCAGATACTAAATCTTTAGCCAGGGTAATTGTAAGGCCAGTTTCCTTTCTAACTCCTATTTCAGGAATTAGAATCTTGTTGTGGTCTAAAGTTTAAAAACATTTGTTTCATGTATTTTGTTGTCCGATTGCTTACTGCAGGAAGCTAAAGATAATTCCAGTTCTTTCCTCATGTACAGAAGTGAAGTTAATGTTTAATATTCTTTTTGATTCCAAAGCAATGAAACTATTTCTAATAAACTAGAATGCATCCATCTCTCATCTTGATATATTTCATAATGCCACCAATGTTCAAATTAGTTTTAGAATATTTTGGTAGGAAAAATGCACTCGAATAATGTTCAAAGTAATCAAGAAAATCAGTCTTACCAAGTTCTGAGGAATTCTATTTGAAGGCCAAAGAGAAGTGAATTCCAACTGAAGTCTAAGTTTGGTGCCAATGAGTAAATTACTTGACTTATTTGGTACTGCTTTTCTCATCTGTAAAATGTGTTTGTGTGTGTGTTAGTTATTCAGTCGTGTCTGACTCTTTGCAACCCCATGGACTGTAGCCTGCCAGACTCCTTTGTCCATGGAATTCTCCAGGCAGGAATACTAGAGTGGGTTGTCATTCTCTTCTCCAGAGGATCTTCCTGACCCAGGAATTGAACCTGGATCTCCTGCATTGCAGGCAGACTCTTTACCATCTGAGCTACCAGGGAAGCCCCAAATGGGCTATATCCTGGTCTATACGAATGGAGTCAAGTACATTAAATATATTTTTAACAGAATTACTATACATTCTATACTATAGCCAGCCTTTTCCCTTAATTTACCAATATTAACATAGATTTCCAGGATAATTTTTATTGGCTGAATAGAATCTTTTTTTTTTTTAAGTCACTTCTATACTCAAAACAATTGAGACTTACTATAATGAAGATATTCAGAAAAGCAATATTGAAAAAGGAGTTGTAAACATGTTAGGAGAACTGTAAGAATCACTAGAATGAGTACAAACCTTTTAAAGCCTTCCAGTCTCCTTTGTGATCCTGCCGTGTAAATGTCTTGTTAGCCTTTGGTCATCTAATGACCTTGCTGAGTTTTTCTTTCATCTCAACACAAGATTTATTCCCAACTGGCTGCAAGCCTTAGGTCTCTCATTCACTACTGATTTCCACCACATTCTTTGATATCCATTACCATGATTATTGGGGCTATTTTTTAAATTAAAGGACAAGGTATGGAGTTTGCTCAGGGAGAATAGGGCACTCTTAGAAGTCCACTTAACAGTTAAAATTTTTTTCCTTAATTTCAAGAATGGACTACATACACCTGATAGTATATCCCACAATGCTTTTATTTAGTCATCCAAATGTGAACAAGCCAAATGATCTTCATGTGTATGGTCAGGGTAGAGAAAGTACAAGTACATCTCAGACATTAATTTTGCCACTACCTCTCTGTGGATATAATGTTAAGGTGCAAAATTCTCTTCTAGTGAATGCCAACAGGATCCAAATCACCTTTTCTTTTAATCATGCATTTAGCCAATTCATTACCCATCATACTACCGAGGACTGTTTTTGAGACAGTAACTCATAAGTCTATATAAGCCCCCCAAATACATGAGAACCCTTGATATTTTCTACTCACCTCCATTTAGGTGAGCTTTTGCCTGCTCATCTCCTGAATGTTCTGTCTCCTGAATATCACTGGCTGAAAATAAAATGTGGGGCAGTTTTATAGTCCCTAAAAAGCTGACAGGGTTAGATATGGCATCTACATAAAACAAAAACTACAAAAAGTCAAGTCAAAGTTGAAGCTGCTAATCAGATTAGAGAAACTGCTCCATACTCAAAATATGGTATTCAGATTCAAAATCTATAATAAATTTTTAGTGAAAAATAATCCAAACAAATACTGAACACTGGGTGAGAAGTGTGGGAAGAATTCTTTTCTGCTGCTAGGAGAGTGAACTGGCACAGTCATCTGGAGGGTAGTATGCCAACAGCACGGAAAGTCAAGTGTGCACCTCCTAACAATTGGGGCATTCTCTCCTACGTACAGATCCTAGAGAAACTCTCAGTCTGTTAACTATTTGTTGTTGTTATCTACTGCCATGTAACAAATTACTCTAAACTGTGTGGTTTAAAACAGTAATAAACATTTATTATTCCACAGTTGCTACGGGTCAGGAATTCAGAAGGGTATCAGGGTCTCTTGTGAAGTTGCAGTCCAAATGCTGGCTGGGGCTCCTGTCATTTGTTTAACCAGAGCTGAAGGATCCTTCTAAGAAACTGCTGTCAAATGGGTCTCACGTTGGCATTAGCTGTTTGCTGTCCCAAAGGGCTGCTACGGTGTCCTCACAATACAGTAGATGGCTTTACCAGAAGTAAGTGATCCGAGAGAACAAGGTGGAAATAGCAGTGTATTTATGACCTAGTCTGGGAATTCACACATCACTCTGCCACATTATGTTGGTCACACAGGTGTAACCTGATACAGCGTGGGAAGGGATTCCACAAGGGCATGAATCATTTTGGACTGTCTAGTTAACAGGCTTGCACACATGGGTCCACAGAAGGCATGTATGACAACATTCACTGTAGTATCATTTGCAATGACAAGAATTGCAGGCAACTTGTGTTTTCATTCTGAGAGAAACCTGAAAGTAAGATGTGGTATATGCCTTGTGATGGAATACCTTATAGCAATCAAATGTTATGAACTAGATTTATGTCTTTTTTCAACTCAAAAGAAACAAAATTAGAAAAAATGAGATGTATAGCATAATGCAACTGATACAAGTTTAAAAAACACTGTATATATTTGTTTCTCTCCACATTATATATTTTTAAAGATGTATGTGTCGCTAAATACATATAAAAAAGGCTGACTGGAAAGACATATGTGGTTGCATATAGGAGAGAAGGAAATTGAAGAGGAGCTGAAGGAATAAGAAAATCAAAGAAAAGAGGGGGCTTTGCAAGAAAAATGTGAACAGTGTCTCATGAACTGAGGAGAGGAATTATCTCAATTCTATGTAGTTGAGGTCCTTTTAAAAAAAATTTTTGTTAAGGTAGAGTTGTAACACGGTTCAAGTGGGCCTGAAAGACCTAACTGAGGCAAAACTCCTAATAGGTAAGGTTCTACTAGTTTCCTTGTGTTGTATTCTTTATGTCATATTTATTCCTGTGGAAGAAAAATTTCAATTCTCTTAAAATACCTCTCATGTCCTGTTGGAATGAATTTTTCCCGCTTTCTTTTGTTGGCGTTTAGGACCTTGGTTCCTCAACCAGGGATCAAAGTCTTGACCACCTGGACTACCAGAGCATTTCCTGGAATGAAGCTCTCGTAACAGAACACAAACTTCTTTCATTTCTCAAATGCAAATAACCTTGAGAGAGAGCCTATAAATACAATTTATACAAAAGAGTGTCATCGACATCAGATTTCCTTGTTAAGGATGTGTGTCATGGGAGGCTAAATGAACAGGATTTTAAATTTCTTGAAAAGGTATCGAAGTGGAGAGATGGAAAAGAGTGGTGCTGCTGCTGCTGCTGCTAAGTCGCTTCAGTCGTGTCCGACTCTGTGTGACCCCAGAGACGGCAGCCCACCGGGCTCCCCCGTCCCTGGGGTTCTCCAGGCAAGAACACTGGAGTGGGTTGCCATTTCCTTCTCCAGTGTGTGAAAGTGAAAAGTGAAAGTGAAGTCGTCTCTGACTCCTAGCAACCCTATGAACCACAGCCCACCAGGCTCCTCCCTCCATGGGATTTTCCAGGCAAGAGTACTGGAGTGGGGTGCCATTGCCTTCTCCGAGAAGGAGCACAGAGGGTGCATTTAAGTACAGATGACAGATCAAATCCCTCATGATTTTGATTAAAACTAGTGCTTTTAACAAAGTTCCTTTTAGGATTGAAGTAAGAAAAAGAGATCATCTTACAATTATGGTAATCTAGTTTATTTTCAGTTCAAGGTACACCGATAAATAAATTTTCAACTTTAATTTTCACCATGGTTAACAACTAAATAAATATATTTATTTACTCTTCTGGTGTTGTTTCAAACTGATGACTACTTTTGGGGTTTAGTAGTAGTGGACTGTAGTAGTAGTGGTTTATCCTTAGGATAAATCAAAATCTAAACTTGAGGGCAGGTCAGTTTTTTATCATTTATAGACCAATCAGGACTAAAATGTAGAAGGTTCAGGTCAAAGCCTAATTTATCTTAGTGAAAGACATGTGTACTATAACAATTTTTCCAGAGATCAATTGTGGCCCTTTGGGGACCACAGCCACTACTTCTGCTATTACAGAACAGCTGTTTCTTCTGAGTAACAACAGAAGCTACCAGTCCAAAGCAGACAACATTTACCAAGCTTTCTTCTTTTAGGGGTATCTTATTTTTAAAAGAATATTATCACTCTTGAAAAATTCTTCTTTGTGTGAGTGTATTTTATTTCTCATTTGTCCCTCAGACATCAGACATGTTAATATCAAGTCCTTATATGCTATCTAATATAAGTAATGTAAGCACATATGATCTTTAAGCATGTATGATCCCTTAGGCAAAACACTCCCATGGAGACAACTCCCCATGGAGCATCTGGCAGCCAATTCTATAAACACAAAAACCACACACTTAATTCACAGACCCACATTGTTCTCTGTTCCACATGGTATTTTTGATTGAGCACCAGCTCCTTAAGGCATCATTGTAATATTTGGTTAACAGTAACTGACATATTTACATAATAACAGCTGATTTTCATATAAACCTTCACAAACAATCTAGGAATTTTAGAAAATACTCTGTGGCTATGAAGCATTTTAAAGTTTAATATTTCTTCAAAACTCTTCTATTCTCCCTGCACTACTTATTAAAGGCCCTGTATGAGGACATTATCTAAGAATCACTTCTCCGCTAGACTGTAAGCTCCATGAAAGCAGGGCCTATGCCTATCCTGTTCATTGATGATTCCTAAGACCCCAGTAAGGCATCAAATCATAAAACACTTGAACTTGTACCTCATGACTTATTAGATGAATTTATATGACCAATCTTTCTTGACAACTGGGTTGTATGTTTACAATAGAGACATTTCACCTATCAGAACAAGACCTTAAAATAAACAATAAAACGTGGTCCAGAGAGGTTCAGAGACTAACGAAAGTCACATTATGTAAGACCACCTTCCTCCACCCCACCCAGTGTTCTGATGCTCCTCCTTTATGATTCTGTGAAAAGCAAATTAATCAACTAGTTTTGTTTTAATATTTCCAAGTTCATTAAGAAAAACTAAAAAACTAGTTTGTAAAAGTTTTTATTGTATCCGTGCCACACATAGTAGTGAAAAATAACACTCCTAAAAAAAAGAATGCTACCTTTTCCACAACATTTTATTTTAAATAAAACTTCAAGTACTCTTACATAGGTACAAAAAAATTCTGATCTATTTGCCTCCAACAGGCCACCACAACACACAGTAGATAAAACACAGTGGTTACAAATGTCTTGTAAATTTATTTCTGAGGCAAGGCAAATGGGAGGGAAATGTTTCTATGAAAAAATACTGTGTGCGTAGGAAATTGTCACAATTTTATTCCACATGGATACAAATGATTATACTTTAATTTAGGCCCTGGTGGCTTAAAATTATATAACAAAATAGAAAAAATGGAAAACTAATATCCCCTACACCCTGTTTCAAAGGCAGGCACTACCAAGATCAAGGAGACGCCACAGTGTTGGTAGAGGATAATTACTGTACAAGCTGTATAGCTATAATTACCTTCAGACTAAAATAAAATGCTACAATCCTTCTAAGGCATAAACAATAATGTCTGCAAACAATATATACACATAATACATATTTAAAACAAGACTTAATATAAACAATAATGAACAGTATATACATGTCAATTTTTCTTCACTGTTTTGAAATACAATTTAACTACACAAGTGATGCAGCAACATATATATATATATATGTATATATATATAAATGTACTTGTAACTCTACAGTAAAGTTTATTTTTGGTGCTTTTATAGCACATCAGTGTAAACAGTTTAACTTGGCTTTGTTTTATATTTTAAAACATTCCTTGTTGTATTTTCAAGATTTAAAGCAATTTTTCTAGTTCTTCCTTTTCACAGAAAACGAAGATTCTGGATGTGGTTTAATCATAAATAATTCATAAAATTAAATACATTCACTAAAAAATAAACTACAAAGTAAAAAAATGAAAAATAGATATTTATTGAGAGGGAAAGAACCATTTCCCATGTTAGAGCTCTGGTGTTGAATATTCAGTGCGATTTGATATATTTTAATTGCTATTGCACTATAACACCCTTTCCTTTGAAAATTCTTTGGGTGTGCTTCCCTGTTCTACCTAAATTAGCTGATAAATCACACAAACCCATAACCAAAAGGCCTTGGTTGTTGTAGGAGTGAAGCCTTTAAAAATGGTATCATTCTTCTGATACTTTTTTTTTCGTGATACTTATTTTAAGGGAAAAAAGGTCATTATGTATGTGCCTTGCACATGTGTGTAAATACAGTTCACATTGCTGGTCTCATTCGTCCTTATTTAAAAGGGAAAAAAAGAAAAGATTATTATAACTTCAGCTCACTTTGAAAGTATCTGTCCACTTTTTTTCAAAATACTTTCTCATACTGTGGCCAGCTCTGCCTATATCAGAATCATCTTCATTAAATGTTTCACAGTTGTCAAAAACAAGCCTGACATCTAGAGCAAAAGTTTCAAGGTTTGGATACCTGGAAGAAAACACATGATTAGAGATTGCTTTTGTAGACTAGTTTCATTTTGCAGATAAAGAAAGAGGTAATAAAAGATTAAATGTAAAACTGAAAGCAAAAAGAAAAAGAAATAGGGTAGCTGCTTTTAAACTGATATAAAACACATTATACCATCTTATAAATGGGACATTTAAAAAACTGCATGTGTTCTGAACTTACAGAATTTAAAGGCAGGTTAAATGTAGAACAGACTTCTCCTGAGGATCACGATATATTTCAACAAACTAGCATTTTTCTTACATCCAAATTCCTGTTGAACCTGTATCACAATTCTGTTACTGGATTCATTCCAACTGATTTATTAACTCTGACCAACTGTATCACTTGTAGTGCCCTATTATTCACATTCAAAAATATTTAGCTGCAGTAAAAGTAATATAAATGCTTCCTATGCACTATGAACATGACATCTGCCCTGTAGCTTTTACATACATCCCAGGGTTGGTCCCTCTGTTTAAACCTTGCTCCTTTCCCATTTTTCTTCTCTCTTCAGATACACTCTTGCTCAAACACTACAGTATGATGATCCAAAATAAGCAAAAAAAGCACGTGCTCTCTCTTTACTGGAGATAACATTAGGAACTGCTTTCAATGAAAAGCACTCAGTGCTGTCTTTGGTAGGATAATCCCAGTTCTCTTTCCCTGAAAGAACCCAGAGAAGAGAACTGAAAGCTGCATGAATATGCCTAAACTTATTGGTAAAAAGGAGTAGTGCCTTTCAAGCCAACCCAAGCCAAAGCAATAGTATACTAATTGGATACTAAAATAATTTATCCATTAGAAGTACATATGGAGCACACACTGAAGCTTTGAGACCTGGTAAAAGTGGAATTATTTATTTGATGAAATACTTTGTACAGTCTTTTCACTTCTACCTTCTAATAAGTGCAACAATGAAAGAGAAAAATTTCTTTATCTGTAATGAGTTCACAGAGCTGTAAACCCTATGTAACCTCATCTATTTTCCAGTTCTTCTAGGAATTATTATTTTTTAAATTAAGGTGAAATTCACATAACATCAAATTAACCATTTAAAGTAGATAATTAAGGTATTTAGCACACTCAAAACATTGTACTACCTAGATTCCAGAACCTAGGTTCTAGATTCCCAAAAGGAACCTCTTAATCCATTAAGCATATACTCTATTCCTTCCTATCTCTAGCCCCTGGCAACCATCAACCCTTCCTTTTGTCTCTATACATTAACCTATTCTGGACATTTTACATAAATGCAATCAGGTAACATGTGTGGGAATAATTTTTATAAAATATTTTAAAGTTACCTTGAGAAATATTTCTCTCTTTATACTGTTCCTTACTACAAGAAAAGGTTAATGATTAATGCTAGGGAGACAAATCCAGGAGAGAATTCTAGGTGAGATTCTAGTGAAGTAAGTGCAATCCCCACGTCTGGGCCCTTCTTTTACGAAAGGAAAGGCAGCCTATGGAACCAGGAAGACTCATTACAGTAAGCTACTTCCTCCCCACTGTTCTCTTAAGTTGTTTTAGTTTAAAAATTGAAATACTGTATGAGGTTGAGTCCCCACTCGTTAATTTGGGTTTAATAAAACAACTCAAAGTTGGAAGAGCCTGAATTCTCTGAATTTTGCCTCCCATATGGCTGACATCACAAATAAGATGATAAAGAACTGCTTCTATCTGCTTGCCTCTGCTTTGACCTCCTGCATTCACTAGGACCCATTCTCAAAAGGGAGCTTTGATTTTGCAGATCTTCTGGTAATTCTGTGTTAATATATAAGCCTGCTTATTTTGAGGTTTAGCTTCATCCTCTATCCATGAACTGGAGAATTATGCAAGGTAAAGTCAGGAATTAAACACTGGGAAGGTCTTCCTGTGTAAGTTTCTGTCCTGGTCATGATGACTACAAAGTCCATGCTACCCTCCTTAAAGTCTGAGTATTTTGATAGATAAAGCTAAAGGACTAGTTCATATATAGACAGAAGTTTCTGCTATTTGGATTGTATTAGAATCAATAGTTTTAATGTTTTCTGAGTCAGAGCAGGTCCCTTTGGAAATTAAAAAAAATAGTAAAGTGAAATGGATATAATTCTTTAAAAAACTGACAGTTCAGCCTCCAGAGAAATAAACTAGTCATTTGGTCAATCTTGTAAATAATTTCATACATATAAGACAGTCACTGATCTTTATGAGTTAAGCTCTATGCAACTCTTCTAAATTGAGTGTGGATTATAGGCTACAGAGATTTTAACCAAAATAATATCCAGGAAGAATATGATAATGCAATCAAATATATTTTATAGTTTTTTAAAATATAAATTTCCTTATTTCTCCATATTTTTTAATGGTTTTGCTTGAAGTGATGGGCACAGCCTATATACTGAGCTAAACTGGTACGGAATGTAGATGCACAGCTCCTGGCCACTGACACGAAGAGTGCTTTTGTGTGGGCTTGTTTTGTAAGCAAATAGCCTTATTCTTGTGGCTCCAAAATGTCCAGAACTAGTATCCAATGTCCAGAACCAACTAAATGCCACTATCTAACAGCTGCTGCTCTGGCAGAAGTCTGAGGCAATCTAGCAAAGATCATTAACTGTGGCCAGAAGTCATTTTGCTCTTTGGATAGGATCACAAAGATAATAGGGTAGAGAAGAGCAGATAATAATATTCTTCCACATTTAATAAACGCATTTTCAGTATTCTCCAACAACCCACAATAAGGCTTTTACTATTTAACATTTCCAGTGATCTTCTATCCCTTCACTGTAATAATCTGAAAAATATTACAGGGTCAATTTTCATTAAAGTTACATGAGATAGTGTCAGTGTTCCACTGATATACAGTACAAGCTCTAGGTTACATGTTATTTACTTTGGAGGTTTTCTTGATACTTTTCCTTACCTTCCAGGCTGGGTTTAGTGCCTTTCCAATGTCAGAAAGCTTTATCGCACAGCTTTTTAAATATTTAAATAATCTTAATTGATTTGTCTTACATACTCTGCTACCCTGATCAAACACACACACCCCTCCATAGGCAGAGCCTATGTCTTTGTTGTTAATTAATGTATTTTTGGCTCACTAGAAAAGTACCCAGCATAAACCAAGCATTCAATGGATATTGAACTGAAATGATTTACTTACTGTCCACTACTTAATTTCTCTCTAATTGTGGAAAAATCCATAGGCTTCTTAATAACTTTCTTATAACCAGGAACAAGTTTCAAGTTTACAGGAAGTAGAAAAGGCCATGCATCCTCATGAGTTTCCATTTCAGTAAGGATCATACTAAAGAAAATAATGTCTGAAATCAGTATCTATGCTTTAGAAACATCTATTTTTATTAAAAATTTAGCTTTCCAATCTTTCAAGTAAAAAATGCAAATTAATTTTTTTAAAAAGATATACCATAGACTTTCATTTCCTATTTACACAAACTGTCAAAAAGTTGTCTTACTATGGTAGGTGATTTCTAAGCAAATAAAATGGGAAGCTGTAAATCTACAGTACATGAGAACTGAAATAATAATACCTGCAAAGAGCTAGGTCCTTGGAGTCATCTCTTTTAGGCTTCTTAACAGAAGTAAAACTTTCTTGCTTTGATAAGTTAATAGAATTGCTGTCCTCCATTTTTCTTTTCTTCAGGTCTTTGACTCCTCTTTTCAGTGAACTGCTTGTTGATGCAGAGTCTTCATCTTCAGTATCCCCTGGTAAAGTCACTTTCTTGCCTTTTTTTGACTCACTCTTTTTTCCTTTGACATGAAGTTTTTTGATTTTTAGGGTTTGACCACTTGCCTTTAATTTAAAAAAAAGGAAATGAGGTGTAAGAAAAATAACTGTTGAGAGGCCTTTTATTATTTTATGTTATGAAAGTCTGACAGGGCAAACAAAAAGAATATTATCTCTGATCTAGAAGGTTGATAATTTCAAGAGAGATCTATGAATTTTTTTCTCCTATAATATGAGGCAAAAAATCTAATAAAGCATGAACAATTTATTTTAGGAGTTCTTAAGATCTGATGATGTTGGTCACATGGCAATCAATCTTTGGTACCACAGAACTTGGCAGCACTGTTTCTGAGTCCAGGTCACCAGCAGCATGACTTTAAAGACACAAAGTACTACTTTTTGGAGCACAATATAATTTTAACAAAGATGAATATAAACAAAAATACAGACCTTATTAATAAGCAAGTTGAAGAGATAATTAAAAAGGTAGACCAAAACAAGGAAAATAGCTCGTGAAGTGTTAAACAGAGAAGTCCTTTGTAAGCAATCAAATATACTTGGAAATTGATACTTCTTTCCACTAATAGATAAAGAAAAAGGGCATTTTCTACAAGGATAGAGTTCCACAAAGTTGTGGTTACCAGATGCGAACAAAGCAAAGGTGAAGGAAGAGAAAAAAATGTCAATATGTGAGGAAAACAATAAAGAAATAGTATAAAAGAGATTATATTTGGAATCAAAGAACATGAATTGTAGCTATGACTGTCAGTTACTAGCTATGGAACTTTGTACAAAATATCTGTGAGTCTCCATTATCTCACTTGTAAAATAAAAAAGACATGCCACACAATTGGTAAAGTCATTCTAGCTCTAAAATTGTATGAAAAAACAAAACAGAACAAAAAGCTCAACATGACCTTATGCAGTCTAACTACAATTTGCAGGCAGCACATTGATATAATGATTAAGCTCTTTCCTACCCCTCAATTTAGAAATAGGGAAATAAATCTGTATTTTCAGACTTAAATGTTACAATAAATATAATAGATCATTGACGAATATCAGTGCAAAGATATTGGTAATGTATGGCTTTTGTTTTAATTTTCCAGGATAGTTGTCCTCTTTTAGAAAACGATCTTCTTTCTTAACCAGATAATTAAGAAATCGTAGACTTAAAACTTAAGAGTCAGATTCAATCTAGCGATAGTTTAAAGCTAGATGTATTCTTGGAATGAATTTGGCTGAAAAACATTTTTCTGGAGTATTTCATATCAATTTCTTTGACGATTTCAGGACCTCTTCTATCTTTATTTTGAAAAATCGCTTTTAATCAAACAATTAAAAGTATTTGGTTCTCTATTAGTAAGGTAAAAGTATAATTAAAGAGATATTTTAATTGGCTAAAATAATAAGAGAAACCATAAATCTAACACCTTCCCCATACCGTATCAAAGAATCACTACCTCTTGAAATTGGAATAAAATTAAAATGTTTTACTAAGTCTCTTCTTCATTTAGTTTATTAATTTTTATTTACTAAAATCTGATTATTTTGTTTTAATATTATGCCCTGAAAGTTTTCAGCACTAGAAAAACAGAAAGAGAAAGCTTAATTCATGAGGAAAAGGTCTGTTTAATGAAGATTAAGTTAGACTGAGTAACTGTGTTACTTAAAAAGAGGAAAAGCTCAGGAATAATTTCTAGTTCCTATGTAAACTAAAATATTACTTGGGATCATATTCTAACAAATTAATACTCATAGTAAGAAAACATGAAATTTAAATGACTCTTTGTGATGTTTTAAAAAGATAATGGAGCCTCTTTATTTCTTTGATAAATGATGTTTATCATGCTTACCTTATTGGATTATGCACATACATATACTTTTACAAGCAGCTTTTATACAGAACCGGTATTACCAGATGTCTGTGTTCTTGCACAGACTCCCCACCTTCCCCACCCTTTCTATCTTATTAGAGTCCAAATCCAAAGAGAAACTTTAGTAAGTCTTAAGTAGAATCTATCAGCTTACACATATATAAGGGCCCATTTCTGTTATGTTTGTGTAATTATATATCAGAAGTTGTGAACTGGTGGTTCACAGACTATAAACAGGCCACAGAATGTGTTGTGGTTTGGCCATAATGCTTATATAAATTCTGAATTTGTTGCCAATATTTAACATTTGCGAGAATATGCATAAAATCCATAATTTTGAAATACTAGTAGATCCTGGAACACTGGGCCCACATGTCTACATGATAACAATTTGCAGGAGTTGAGTGATGACTGTTACATAAAAATAGGGGTACGACTTGACTTTCCTATTTGCTATAGTCCCGCCTGACGCTTTTGTGTTATTGTTATTTGGCTTTTTAGGCACCGGAATTTAGAATTTCTTATTTGTGTATATGATTGTGTATAAATACATATATATATACACACACAAGTCTTTAATTCTGTGACAGAGAGAATATATATATATCTTTAATACAGTGTATGTGTGTGTGTGTGTATATACTTAGTCACATGATGTATGCAGAAATAGCCATTTGAGAGCAAATTGTATAGTATAAATATTTGAAAATAACTGAATTACTGGAAACATTTTTAAAACCTTAACTTTAAAAATCTATATGTATCAAAATTAAATGGTTATAGTGTTTCTATTGCTATAAGAAGCTCGGGCTTCCTGGTGGATCAGCTGGTAAAGAATCTGCCTGGAATGCAGGAGACCTGGGTTCAATCCCTGGGTCAGGAAGATCCCATGGAGAAGGGAATGGCTACTCACTCCAGTACTCTTGCCTGGAGAGTTCCACGGACAGAGGAGCCTGGCGGGGTTGCAAAGAGTTGGACATGACTGGGCGACTAACATCTAATACATCACTTTTAAAAAACAATAGAAAGGGAATTCCTTGGTGGTCCAGTGGTTAAGACTGTCTGCTTTCTTTGCTGTGGGCCTGGGTACAATCCTTGGCTCGGGAACTAAGATTCCACAAGCCTCACAGCATGGCCAAGAAACAAACAAGCAGAAAAACCCCAAAGCAAAACAGGGCAGAGACTTAGAAAGCTGCATTTACATAGAAGTGCTTGGATAGGATTACAGACCTCTAGTCTGGTACTGAAATGACAGACACCAGAATGCTAATTTAAGCAAACTGACAGAAAACAAGACTTCCTATAGCCTACCAGATGGTACCCCCAGGCCCGAAGACACTGATTTGTTAGTAATTCACAAAGTAGTAGAGAAACTTTCTTTCACTTGACAGTTTGAAACTAAAAGATAATTTATGTACAACCAGTGAAGATTATTATTAAACTACATTTAACTCTATATGACAAAAATGATCAAGCAACAAGAAATAAAAAAGCAATTATTAGTGAATACCATGCCATGTGAGACTTCTGCTATTTTGTAAATAGAAAATATAATATATAAATATAAAATATAATAAAGTATGAATATAAATATATCAGAGAATTTTTTGAAGTTATAAAAACCTTAAGACACACAAGCATATCTGATCCTCACAAATCCCCACAAAGCAGATATTCTATTCCATTTTATAGACATAACTTTGAAGTTAAGAAAAGTACTCCAATATTTATAGATCTGGGAAGTGAGAAAAACTAGCAAAGGAGACTGAAAAGGAGCAAAGTCAGGAAGAACACCAGATGAGTATGGTATCCTAGAAGACAAGTGAAGACAGAATATCAAGGAGGAGGGGAAGTTCCACTTTATCAAATTTAAATATTAAGTTAGATGATCTGAGCAGTAGTCACTGGACTGAGCAATGTGGAAATCATTTGTGGGCACTGTAAGAACAATTTTGAAGATGTCATAGAGGTAAAAATATGACTGGAATGAGTTTAAGAGTAAATCGGAGGAGAGAAATTGGAGAGAACCATAACAGAAAACTTTTCAGCAAAGGGAAGGGGAGAAATTGGGGAAGTGGATCAAGGGAGAAGTGAGGCTAAAAGAGAGTTTTTGTTTAGCTTTTGTAATATGGGAGAAATCGTATCATGTTAGTAGTCTGATGAGAAAGAACCCAGTGCAGAAGTAGAAACTGATGGTGCGGGAGAAGACAGAACTGCTAGAGGTGTTCCTCATTCTCCTAAGGAGGTGATATGGGGATGGGATCTGAAGCACAAGTTGGCTAATTGACTTAGTTAGGGGCACAAGCAGTTCGTGGCAACAGGATGGAAGGTAGAGGATGCTAGTCCAAATATAGAAAGTATGGTAGGTGTGATGGATTTTTGTGATATTTTCTTATGATGGCCTCCATGTTCATAGTAAAATGAGAGTAACATCATCAGCTGAGACAGAATAGAGGACACTAAATTATCAGGCACCATTAAAGGCCCTCTTAGCCTTAAATTTAAAAGGCTGGGTGTTCTCTCCAGTCACATTCAAGACACCTTTGTATCTGAATATTAAGTTACTAGAGAAGTCAGAGAATTGGATTAACCAGAATGACGGTTTTACCAAGTGAGAGAGAGGAACAGAAGCTAAGGGTAGATGCTGTGATTATAGGAACAAAAAGAAGACATGAAGGTGGAGAGGGACAGTGAGAAGGTCTCAAGATAAATGAACTGGAGGTCCTGATGAGATCAAAGAATTATTGGAGTAGGAGTGCTAGAGAGAGTGAATGGGAAAGAAGGAGGCAGTGGATAGATGGACATTTGAAACTGAGTTTATGAAGAGGTGGCAGTTACTGGTAATAATTAAGTCAAGAGATTAAACATGGAAGAGAGTGAGATAAAGAAAACCTAATAGTGAGTCTGGTCCTCAATACATTCTAACCCTTTCACACTTACATTGTAACTCTAAAACTCATCTCTTTCTACTTTATCATATTGCTTCTCCTTAATCAATTTGTATGAGAGTTCATAGGTTTCTGATTTATATGTGACTGGAAAGTGACTTCCCAGGTGGTGCTAGTGGTAAAGAATGCCTGCCACTGCAGGAGACATAAGAGACATGGGTTCAATTCCTGGGTCAGAAAGATCCCCTGGAGGAGGGCATGGCAACCCACTCTGGTATTCTTGCCTGGAGAATCCCATGGACAGAGGAGATTGGTGGACTATGGTCCACAGGGTCGCACAGAGTCAGACATGATTGAAGCAACTTAGCATAGACATGGAAAGTGACTTAAAATACATATGCTTAATACCATATGACCAAGCAATTCTACTCTTAGGTATATAACCAAAAAAAGTGGAAACATATTCCTAACTTGTATATGACTATTTCTAGCAGCATTACTGATAAAAGTCAAAACATAGAAACAATGCAAAAGTCTATCAACTGAACAGATAAAATGTAGTCTATCCATATAATGAAATATCATCTGACTTTAAAATGAAGTGCTGAAACGTAGATGAACCTCGAAGATATTATGCTAGGTGAAAGAAAAAGGCCACATATTATATGATTTAATACATCTATAATGACCAGAATTGGCAAATTCATAGAGATAGGAAGTAGATTGGTTGCCAAAGGCTGAGAAGAGAAGGGGAACTGGAAGTGAATGCTAATGGGTATTAGGATTATTTAAGTGGGTCATGAAGATGTTCTGGAATTTGATAGTGGTGATGATTGTACAACTTTGTGAATATATTATACATCACTGAATTGCACACTTTAAAGTGAATTTTATTGTATATGAATTGTATTTCAAAAATCCATATAAAATGCTTCATTTTGACTGGAAGTTTAAAACTTATTAATACTACTAAAAAATACTAAAATTTATACGAAATCACAAAAGACCCAGAATTACCAAAGCAATCCTAAGGAAAAAAGAAGAAAGCTGGAGGTATAACCTTTCCAGCCTTCAGAAAATACTATTAGGTTGGTACAAATATAATTGTGGTTTTGGCGTTGTTGAAATTTGCTGTTTGATATTGGAGTACGTTATTAATTAATGTGGTTAGGTTATATATAATTTTAATGTGCATTTCTTGCTTTTTTTTTGCTAATGACTTACTACTTACTGTTTATTTTATATTTCTTTTGGACTATGGAAATGATGCTAGACAAAAAGCAAATTTTAGCTATTTTCTTATTCGAGTTCAAAATGGGTTATAAAGTAGTGGAGATAACTTGCAACATCAGCAACACATTCAGTCCAGGAACTGCTAATGAACATACAGTGCATTGGCAGTGCAGGAAGTTTTGCAAAAAGACAAAAGCCTTGAAGATGAGGGGCCAGCCACCGGACATTGAAAATGACCAATTGAGAGCAATCATCAAAGCTGATCTGCTTACAACTACACGAGAAGTTTGCTGAAGAACTCAACATCTACCATTCTATGGAAGCAAACTGGAAAGGTGAAAAAAGCTCGATAAGTGGGTGCCTCATGAGCTGACTGAAAATCAAAAAAATTTAAAGTGTTGTCTTCTCTTACTCTACGCAACAACAACAAACCATTTCTCAATCAGATTGTGACATGTGACAGAAAGTGGATTTTACAGGACAACCAGGAATGACCAGTTCACCAAAGAAGCTCTGAAGCAAGTCCCAAAGCCAAACTTGCAACAAAAAAAGGTCGTGGTCACTGTTTGGTGGTGTCTGATTCACTACAGCTTTCTGAATCCCAGCTAAACCATTACATCTGAGAAGTATGCTCAGCAAATCAATGACATGCACCAAAACTGGAACAGTTGCAGCTGGCATCAGTCAACAGAAAGGGTCCATACTTCTCCACGACAACACCCAACCACATGTCACACAACCAACACTTCAAAAGTCGAATGAATTGGGCTACAAAGTTTTGCCTCATCTTCCATTTTCACCTGATCTCTTACCAATGGACTACTATATCTTCAAGCATCTCTTGATAACTTTCTGCAGGGAAAACGCTTCCACAACCAGCAGGAGGCAGAAAATGCTTTCCAAGAGTTTGTCGAATCCCAAAGCGCAGATTTTTACACTACAGGAATAAACCAACTTATTTCTTGTTGGCAAAATGTGTTGATTGTAATGATTCCTATTTTGATGAATAAAGATGTGTTCGAACCTAGTTATAATGATTTAAAGTTCACAGTCAAAACGGTAATTACTTCTGCACCAACCTAATACAAAGCTACAGTAATCAAAAGTGTGGTATTAGCACAAAGACATATGGATCAATGGAACAGAACAGAAAGCCTAGAAATAAACCCATACACCTACAGTCAAGTAATCTACAACAAAGGAGGCAAGAATATATAATGGAGAAAGAACAGTTTCTTCAGTAATTGGTGTTGGAAAAGCTGGACAGCTACAAGTAATCAATGAAATTGGAACACTCCCTCACACCATATATAAAAATAAACTCAAAATAGTTTCAGACGTAAATATAAGACATGACACATAAAACTAGAAGAGAACATACACAAAACATTCTTGGACATAAATCACAGCAATATTTTCTTAGTCCAGTTTTCCAAGGCAAAAGAAAAAAAAGCAAAAATCAGTCAGTGTCACTGTTAGCCGCTCAGTCATGTCTGAGTCTTTGCAACCCCATGGACTGTAGCCCGCCAGGCTCCTCTGTCCATGGAATTCTCCAAGCAAGAACACTGGAGTGGGTTGCCATTTCCTTCTCCAGGGGATCTTCCTAACCCAAGGATCAAACCCCACTCTCCCTCATTGCAGGCAGACTTTTTACCATCTGAGCCACCAGGGAAGCCTTAAAAGCAAAAATAAATGCGACTTAATCAAACTTAAAAGCTTTTCCACAGCAAAGGAAAACAACAACAAAACAAAAAGACCTACCAGACTGGGAGAAAATATTTGCAAACAATATTAACTGACAAGGGGTTAATAACCAGAGTACACAAACAGCTCATACAACTCAATATCATAAACACAAACAACCCGGTCAAAAAATGGGCAGAAGACCTAAATAGATATTTTCCAAATAAGACATAAATAGATGGCTAACAGGCATGTGAAAAGATGGTCAGTTTAATTATTAGAAAAAAGTACATCAAAACAACAATGAGGTATTACCTCATACCAGTTAGAATGGCTATCATCAAAAAGTCTACACATAATAAATGCTGGAGAGGGTGTGGAGAAAAGGGAACCCTCTTACTCTGTTGATGAGAATGTAAATTGGTATAGCTCCTATGGAAAAGAGTATGAAGTTTCCTTAAAAAAAATAAAAATAGAGCTCCCATATGATCCAGCTATCCCACTCCTGGGCATAAACCTGGAAAAGATGAAAACTCTTGGTTCAAAAAGATACATGTACCCTAATGTTCACAGCAGCACTATTTACAAGAGCCAAGACACAGAAACAATTCAAGTGCACATCAAACAGACAACTGGTTTGAGAAGATGTGGTATACATACATATCAGACTGTTACTCAGCCATAAAAGAGAATGAAATATTCCCATTTGCAGCAATATGTATGAACCTAGAAATTATTACACTAAGTGAAATCAGACAAATAGTTTATCACTTATATGTGGAATCTAAAAAATAATACAAATTAATCTTTATATGAACAAGAAACAGACTTACAAGGATAGAAAACAAACTTATGGTTACCAAAGAGGAAAGATAGAGGGGGGAGGATAAATTAGGGGTACAGGATTAACAGATACAAACTACTACACATAAAATAGATAAGCAACAAGGATTTACTGTTTAGCAAAGGAAGTATATTCAAAATCTCCTAGTAACCTATAATGGAAAGTAACTTGAAAAATATATATATGTAACTGAATCACTTTGCTGTATAATAAAAAAAATAAGTTTTAGATCAGTCTTACCTTAGCAATGCAAGCTGGACAAAACCAATCCCCATCTGGTATAGTTGTAATCTTGGGTCTATGGCAGTATGTATGACAGCCTTTGTCACAGCCATCACAAAGGAGGAGCAGTTCTTCATTATCTCCCTTTCGACAGATCTGGCAGTACTATAATACATGAAAAATCATTTAAAATTAAGACTCTGCTATCAATGATAGGTATTGGGATATTAAACACACCATAATTCCTAATTCATATTAGTAATGAACATTCCGCTTGCTAACAAATAAACAGTAGCCATACACATCTATGTATCTCTCGTTACACAGATATGGACCACATGACGGGGTGAGCAGTTCAATTGGGGTAAATGCACATTTCAAGTACACTGCAAAGAACAAAGCTAGAGGTTGAATGCCTGCACACACTTCAGAAGCATGTACACATTAACATATGAAATAATTAACATGACATTAGAGCACATAAAGCAATGAATAGCTTTAATACATGGTACTTTAATTTTTTAATATATTTCATCATTTGCTTATCTTAGCATCCTCATGATATCCTGAGAAAGAAATAAGTAAGAGTTAGAGTAATTTTTAAGATCAAAATTAGGAAACTTGTATTAGTATCAGAATCATAAATAATAATAATAAGATGTCCCTATGTTTTGACTATGTCTAAACCAGGAAACTTCAAAAATCAACCCAAATCAAACATGTGTCACAAATGTAGAAAATGGATCCTACAAAATGATTTCTAAGGGAAAAAAACTGTTACAGTAAACTAAAGAATTTAGAGGTCATTATTTACTTTCTAGGAGTAAAAATAATTTCTTCTCTGTGGAAAAACTTCTAATACTATTAAGAATTTTAAAATCTATAGAGAGAAGATTTTTTTCTCATGCACACATATTCTGTATAACAAGTTTCACAAAGGAAAGAAGGATGATTAGACAAGTAAAAACTTCAAGCTTTAAAAAACAGTAAGTACTGACATTATATTCTGACACTTAATTTTTATTTCCAGTAGCAGTAGAAAATGTCCTGTAATAAATATTACAAAACTGAAAACATTACTATTTTTCAAGTTAAAATAATTAAAACATGTAAATTATAAATCATTTATACTAATTTTAAGTTATGTATTTAAATACTCTTAAAACAAAAAAAACTTAATTGTTCAAATTTAATTTGTTTAATTTCAAGAAAACATTAAATCTTAACCTGGGAAGGTCTAAAATAGTCTTTCATAACTCAACATGTACACCAATGATAGCTTAAGAATCTTACCACAACAGCAGATACATGCTATTCACCTTAATAAATAGCTATCAAATATATGTAATATACATGTAATACTAAAATTGGCACGGGTACTAGAAGAGAAAGCAGTAGAATTTAATATTCTGACAGTAAGTATTTATTTTATGACCTTTCCTAATAACCATATCACTAAATACTTTACTATGGTACTATTTCTCCATATCTGAGTTATTTTTTTAAAACTTCTATTATAAGAATATTCATGGAGAAATAATATTTTGAAGGTTATATTTAATTCCCTATAATGAAAAAATTTAAAAATCAGGTTCACGAACATTAAGTAAATTCTCACAATCTTCTATAATAGGTAAAAATACTAAAAAATCCATCTTACATCTCACATTTATGATTTAAAAATTATTTTCTGACATTTATTAAGAAAGGGTAACATATATTGAACTTTTTTGGAAAATCACAGTAATAGCTCACAATGTGTTGGAGCATTTTAGTTTTAACTACTTTGCTACCATAATAAAAACAAAACAGTGAATACCACAGTGGATGTCGCTGACGGCTTAACATTAGAAACAACAGAAAGTAGGTAGTGGACTGAGAAGTATCGAAAGGCAAACTACGGCAGCTCCTTCTTCCTTAGTGAGCTTGGTTTCTGGCAAAGAGGATATTTCTAAAGATATTGAGCACTTTAACTTTCTGATACTTCTTATTATGAGGATTCTTATAGGTCCTGTTGTATTTCTAATTAAAGGTTTCAAAGAGCTCATTAATCTTTGAATAAAAAACTCTGCCTTCTTTATAAAGAAGTGGTGTTTTTTTTTAGCAAATATAGATTATTAAACATTAAAAAAATGAAAATTATGAGAGATGGAGTTAAATAATGATGGATGCATATTAATTTATTAATAACAATGGAAAAGGAATTTGCAAAAAACTGAAGTAAAACTTAAGATGGCAGAAAGGAACTATACTAATATAAAGGCAGAGTTTGGTATAAGTTTTGGGTTTCTGTGTATAGGTTATACATAAATTGTAGATTCATATTCTATGGACATTTTAGAAAGAAGTGAAAAACCATAGAAGAAATCAAATTTATTTGTATACAATGAATAAAATCTTGAGTAGTCTAGGCAGAGAGGTAAAAAGGAAGGAAAGAATGCAAATTATTTAAGGATCACTTCTTTTCTTTGGGGAACAACTATTTAAATAAAGGAATTTTACCCTTATTCATGAAAACAAAACTCAAGTATTTGAATTTTAAAGCTAATCAGCAATTCAAAAGCAACTGTTAAAATTAATTCATAAAAGTCAACTTATAAAATATATTTCTATAATAAATAAAAGGAAAAGGGACACATATATGATTTAAAATAAATATATCTCTGGGAGATGAAAGAAATATAGCTTTTATTTTGAATATATAGCACTTGTTGCCTAGTACAAAGTAGAGGCCTCTATGTGATAACTAACTGGGCTTGAACAAAGAAGGTAAAGAAATAGTTTTAATTGTTAGAGGAAACACTAAAATATCTATGCTTAATGCCAGCAATATCAAACTATCAAAAGTGCATAAAGGAAGAGGTCTCGCTTTATTTCATTTACTTATCTAAGTATTTTTAGCATTAAAAAAAGAAAATTGATACAAATATAAAGACATTTCAGGAATGCAGTGAATGTATATAGCAGGTAATGTTAGCAACTGGAATGTTTACAAGATTGAAAGAGCCTTCAAAACATTTAGCTTAACAACTATTATTTGACAAAATGCAGAAGACAACTTCAGTTGGAGCTACAAACAATATTCAAAGGAGAGAAAAAGAAGATCTTAAAAACAAAAGGTAACATTTGATCGATTCCTTCAAAAAGCTCAAGATAAGGAGGAAAGTATCAAATTATACAGTATTGAAAAATTAAGCAAATTCTCAAGTACAGCATACATTATTTTGATAATAAAGTATAACTAAGAAATATCTGAAGATTGGAAAAAAAAACAGGACAAAGTAAATTAGCTATAGTATTTCTTAAATAAAAACACTTACAACTTTCATAATTGATTTTTCCCATGCTATTGATTTCTGTAACTGCTGAATGCACAGAGCTACCTGTGCAGCACTGCGAGCTTCTGATAATGCCCTTCTCCATACCCTGAGCCCTGGAGCAATATCCTCTTCAATTCTGCATTGAAATATAGAAAAATTAAGTAGGTCATGTCCACATTTATGGTTACTGAATGTGAAACAATCATCACACTGAAAGCCAAGCAATGACAAAAACATGTAACAGCCAATAAGTATAAGGTTTAAGCAACTAAATTTGATGTAGTGCACAGACTGTGGCTACGTGCCTCAAAGCTTAGTCACAACCAGGTAAATGTAAGATCACTTTGCAGGATTATCAACGCACATAACAAAAAAAAAAAATGTTTTTACAAAGCACCATGCAAGTAGCATGATCCATATGGATCACAGACATACAAGAAGATACATAGATAACAGGCAATAGAAAATAGGCTCCAATTAGCAAAGAAGCACAATAATTTGTCAAGTTAATCTCAATAACCTACCCGTCACCATCACCACTAATGGATGGTGCAGGAGCAGGGACAGTAACTGTGCCCACATTATCCAGTTTGATCTGAATGGTGGTACTTAAGGGGCTCTTCAGATACCTTCTTTCAATGTTCCGCTCCAAATCAGCCAGCCTGGTTACAGCTATATCTAGGGGGTTGTCACTCTTCCGTTCCAGTGCATGTGCACTGCTTTCTTCTTCGCCAGTAAATTCTCCATCACGCTCCTTGCACAAGTTAGAAAATGACTTATGTTCAAAATATACCAAGTCCTCCCTTTCTGATGCAGGCTCTGGACACATCCAACCCTATATATCAAAAGAATAATGTTACTATGGTTTCCTCTTGAAATGCCTGATGGGTGAATTACCTTTACTTAAAATATAGCAGCAGACACCAGCAGATCTCAAGGATCTTTACTGAAAGTTTTTACCGTGTGTTTCCTAATGCTAGGTAGAAATAAGAATAACAACAACAAAAAATTAAAAGAAACAATAGTGAGAGAAGTTTGAGGAAGAAAATTTAAGAACTTTTGATGTTATGAAAGGTAAAATGAAAATCAGCAAAGTATTCTGAGCAACTTTAGACTAAATGCTTATTCATTTCATGGAACCACTTCAATGGAACTCACTCAGTGGTCTCTGAACTTAGTTCTTCCTTTCCATTTCCTTTCCTTCTACTACTCTTCTGTATAGGTCTTTGTACTCACCATTTTTCTTTCAGCAGCAGGAGTTTACATGAGGTGTTACATTTGTCTGTGTACAGCCTTCATCTGTTGTTTTTAACATATTAACTCCACTCATCCTGCAGCTCTCATGTTAAACATCCTCAGGGAATCCTTTCCTGACCTATTTTAAGAGGTTAAGTCTCCATTTTACAAGCTCACAAAGGATCTCTTCAAGAAAATTAGAGATACCAAGGGAATATTTCATGCAAAAATGGGTACAATAAAGGACAGAAATGGTGTAGACCTAATAGAAGTAGAAGATATTAAGAAGAGGTGGTAAGAATACACAGAAGAACTATACAAAAAAGACCTTAATGACTTTGAAAACTATGATGGTGTGATCACTCACCTAGAGCCAGACATCCTGGAATGTGAAGTCAAGTGGGCCTTAGTAAGCATCACTTCAAACAAAGCCAGTGGAGGTGATGGAATTCCAGCTGCGCTATTTCAAGTCCTAAAAGATGATGCTGTGAAAGTGCTGTGCTCAATATGCCAACAAATTTGGAAAACTCAGCAGTGGCCACAGGACTGGAAAAAGGTCAGTTTTCATTCCAATCCCAAAGAAAGGTAATGCCAAAGAATGTTCAAACTACTGCACAATTGTACTTATTTCACATGCTAGGAAAGTAATGCTCAAAATTCTCCAAGCTAGGCTTCAACACTACGTGAACCAAGAACTTCCAGATGTTCAAGCTGGATTTAGAAAAGGCAGAGGAACCAGAGATCAAATTGCCAACATCTGTTGGATCATTGAAAAAGCAAGAGGGTTCCAGGAAAACATCTATTTCTGCTTCATTGACTACACTAAAGTCTTTGTGTGGATCACAACAAACTGGAAAATTCTTCAAGAGATGGGAATACCAGAGCATCTCACTTGCCTCCTGAGAAACCTGTATGCAGGTCAAGAAGCAACAGTTACAACCAGACATGGAACAATGGACTGGTTCCAAATTGGAAAAGGAGTATGTCAAGGCTGTATATTGTCACCCTGCTTATTTAACTTATATGCAGAGTACATCATGCAAAATGCCAGGCTAGGTGAAGCACAAGCTGGAATCAAGACTACTGGGAGAAATATCAATAACCTCAGATATGCAGATAACACCACTCTTATGGAAGAAAGCAAAGAGGAACTAAAGAGCCTCTTGATGAAGGTGAAAGAGGAGAGTGAAAAAGCTGTCTTAAAACTCAGCATTCAAAAAATGAAGATCATCGCATCTGGTCTCAACACTTCATGGCAAATATATGGGGAAACAATGTAAACAGTGACAGATTTTATTTTCTTGGACTCCAAAATCACGTTGACTGCAGCCACGAAATTAAAAAATGCTTGCTCCTTGGAGGAAAAGCTATGACAAACCTAGACAGCATATTAAAAAGCAGAGACATGACTTTGCCAACAAAGGTCCGTCTAGTCAAAACTATGATTTTTCCATTAGTCATGTATGGATGTGAGAATTGGACCACAAAGAAGGCTGAGTGCAGAAGAATTGATGTTTTTGAGCTGTGGTGTTGGAGAAGACTTTTGAGAGTCCACTGGACTGCAAGGAGATCCAACCAGTCCATCCTAAAGGAAATCAGTCCTGAATATTCACTGAAAGGACTGATGCTGAAGCTGAAACTCCAAACTTTTGGCCACCTGATGCGAAGAGCTGACTCTTCAGAAAAGACCGTGATGCTGGGAGAGATTGAAGGCAGGAGGAGAAGGGGATGATAGAGGACTAGAAGGAGATGACAGAAGACGAGATGGTTGGATGACACTACCAACTCAATGGATATGAGTTTGAGCAATCTCTGGGAGATGATTAAGGACAGAGAAGCCTGGCATGCTGCAGACCATAGTGTCGCAGAGTCAGACACGACTGAGCGACAGAACAACAGCAAGACTGGTGGTACTTGCAATTTTATACTACTGTGATTATTGGATTAATCTTTCTACCTCTAAATTCCATGAGGACAGGGACCACGTCTGCTTTCATATTATCTCCAGCACAGTGAAGGTAAATAGTAGGCACTCAATATTTACATGTTGATTGAATAAATGGGTGATCTTATAACTCAGCTTGCTTATATTGATCTTCTACTTCAAAATTCTTCAGAATTTCCCTACTGTTTAGCAAAGTCCACATTTTTACTATGACATTAACGTACCTGTCTACCTCTTCCTCTAGTGTTCTCATCACAAATCCTACACTGTAGTCATATTCCACAATTTACAACTCCACAAAACATGTCCTAATATTCTAGATCCTCATGCTCTGCTCAGGCTGTTTACTCTTTCTAGTATGGCATTCCTTGTCAAAAGCTGACTCACTTTCTCAAGCTCTATCTCAACTTCTGCATGAATGTTCCCTCATCTCTTCCATGTCTCTACCAGAAGTTGTGTATTCTTTTTCTAAATTCATGCATGACTCTTCTCTATGATCAGTTTAACAGATTCTTCAGAGATGTATACATGTCTTATGTCTCTATTAGGTGACAAGCTTTCTGAGGGCAGAAACCATATTTTTACCCAAAATTGTGGTGTCTATTGTCTGATGCGGACTAGGTACTTAGTAAATGCATATCAAATGTAAAACAGAATATGCATTATCCTTTTTATTACACCTTTTCAGAGATAATTATTTTATCTTATATATTACAATCAAGTCCTCTTCTTTACTCAGTAGAACATTTATATTTGTGAAGTAAGGATAGAATTATGAATAGTGTACGTAAGTGCATTAGGTAGAAATCATGTCAAATAAACCTCATTCCCAGATTTTGAAAGGGGTACTAAATTTGCCAAATCAAGGGAACCCTGTAAGCACAGTATATCTGGATCTCTGCAAAGCAGTTGACAAGACAAAAAACGAAGACTAGATTAAAGAAGTCTAGAGAGTTGAAAGTGAAAGTGAAAGTCCCTCAGTCGGGTCTGCCTCTTTGTGACTATGGAGTTAGTCCATGGAATTCTCCAGGCCAGAATACTGGAGTGGGTAGCCTATCCCTTCTCCAGGGGATCTTCCTGACCCAGGAATTGAACCGGGGTCTCCTGCATTGCAGGCAGATTCTTTACCAACTGAGCTATGAGGGAAGCCCCTGAGGGTTGAAAATTGTTTCCAAAGAATGGTGATTGTCAGAACTTGAATCACCTCCGAAAAGGTCCCCAGTGCTAATGGTCAAAGGTTCTGCCCTTGGTTTGTCCTGTTAATACACTAGGAGTAACTTTGTTGATTGCTATTAAATCTGCAGATGATTTAAAATTAGAAAGAAAGTTTAATATTCTGTATGACAGGACCAAAATAAAAATAGTTCCAAATATTGAAAAATAACCCAAATGAAATTTATTAAAAAAAATGATAAATGTACATTTTAGATCTGAAGTTTAAGCAACTAATAACAGAAATATTACATGCGCTAGAACTCCCTTAAAACCTCTTTGCAAAGAGCCTAGCGGTTTTTTTGTTTGTTTTTTGCTTTGTTTTTTCATTGTGCATACTTGGCAAAGCAAGAGTATGATGTGGATGCTAAAAAGTTAGTACAAATTCAAACAGCATTAATGAAGAATAGTGCCAGATGAAGGAAAGTAACAGTCCCATGCACACATTCAGACAGTGCTATGTACAGCTATAGATACAACATTTTAAGAAGGATATTGACACTGGTGTTTTTGTACATGGAACTTATTTCTGGTTGAAGGAATTAATTAACTTGTAAAAGAGAAAACTAAGAAACAGACATAGGAGCTATCTTATGAAGAACTGGAAGAGTAGTTGTTTTATAAACTCTCAACAGAACTAGGACTAGAGATCTACAGATTCTTCTACAAAATAATAAATAATTTCCAAATTATAAGCAATATTAAAAATATATATGAATGCACCTAAGTAGTCCCACAGGTCACCTGTTTAATGTGTCTTCACAGTGGCAAGCTCCCCACGTTAAACATATAATTCTATTTTCTTAAAAAAAATCATTAAATCTTATATAGATATTACAATAATATTTTGCAGTTATTTTCATCATTTGTGTTTTTAGACTCTTAAAGAATATATTTTAGTAGATTAATACAGAATATTTCAGCAATACTTATTTTATAACAGAATGTTAAAACATTTCACATGAAAAAACAAATTCTACTTTTCTTATATATATTTATAACACAGCCAAGAATGTCTAAGCAGCTAGTAATGTGATAAGGTTAATGCACAAAAATATGAGTATGTCCTCCAGGAAAATGTTTCATGCCCATACCCTGACTTTAATATTAAAAACCATGAAGATATGCTTTCCCAGCCAACAGTCAATTAGAACTAGCAAATTAGATGAATGAAGTTCGAGGAAATTTGGGCAAGTAGAAACAATCAAATTTAAACCAGCAAGTAGTAGCAAGTGACCATGAGAGAGGACAAAAACAGACTATGAAAAGCAGTCACCGTCGTACGAAAAGCAAAGCGCATTGGGTTCATTTAACGTAGGGGCCAAACCTCTTCACATTTCCTTAGGGAATCATTATCTAATAATTGGTCTTCACACTCATGATCCTGTGTCACCAAGATAATTTAAATCACACTCATTATTCTCAATTTAAGAAGGCAGTATAATGCATAACATAAGCAATACAACAAATATGTTAAAAAAATTATGGCACTAAATGGAATAATTTTCATTTCTCTAGAAAATTAACTTGGTAGAAGAGCTCATTTGTTAAAGATGCCAAGTAAATGAGGCATTTTTATATTATATTATAGTACTAGGAGGAAGATATAGTTTGCTAGCAAAATAGATTCAACAAATGTAAAGTTTTGCCTCCCAAAGTTGGTAATTAATAATGTTTGAGGCAAGAAGGGATATTACAACTGCAAAGTGACATTTTTTGGAGTGCTTCAAAAATTTCCAAATATCACAGGATAATGTTATGGCATAAATTTCTCATCTGAATAAAACACAAAGTATCAAATCCAATTACACAGAGCCTACATTTTTCTAAACTTTTCTAGGTATTTCACACTTATTCATCATCCATCCATTTATTCAGAGACATCACCTTATTATCAATTGAGAAAACCTTTACACCCCTCTTTCCAAAACTGAAAATTCTTGAGCAAAGATAAAGCTTTCCTCCTGCCTGTCCAACAGAAGCCAGTTCTGTTCACGGTAAATACTTGTGACATGGTAATGCCCAGTAGATGAATAAATTAATTTAAAATTTACATATATATGTAGGGAGTACACATGAATATGTATATCATAGTATAATGTATATTTGGATATATATTCTCTAATTTTAAATTATATAGAATGAGATTTTGACATATAACATGGCTTGGATGTAAGGAAGTTCGTCTATATGAAAATGTATAGCATTATATAGAGCATTATATGTATCATGGGTAAAAAGGTGAAATAATGCTAGTGGTTAAAAACCGCACACTAGAAATGACAGTTTTGAATATCATTAAGAAGCAGAATGATTTAGTAAAAAAGAACACAGGCTCTGGAGTCCAACAGACTTGATTTGAATCCACATTTTGCCATTTACTATATGACCACTGGCAGGTTACTTACTTTGAGTCTTGTTCCTTACCTGTAAGATGGGGAAAATTAATTCAGGATCATTTTGAGAATTAAATGAGATAAAATGAAAACATTTAGCAGAGTAACTGGCACATATCAGGCATATAACAAATAAGTTACCTTCCATCATCCTAAAAACAGATTTCATTCCAAGTCAATTTTACCTTCACTTGCAAACTTGCTGATGCAACTCTCCTTTCTAGATCTTCTACCTGTTGAAGAATATTCAAATCCATTTCCATTGCTTGTTCTTCTATTGACCAGTTCTCCACAATGTCTCGAGTTACCTGGTTTTCTTCATTTTCATTTAATTCAATAATGGCAACTATAGTTGAAAATAAATTAATTTTAATATCTGCTTTATTCTGTAATAATTTCTTCTAGACAGTGAATAAATTCCAGGGATAACATATACGTATAACTTAAAACATAAAAATGTATCTTTTTTTGTGTAAACATAGGTAGATTCTTCTTTTTTTTTTTTTAAGCTGTGCCATGTGGCTTGTGGGAATTTTTAGTTTTCCAAGGGATTGATCAAACCTGGGCCCTGGCAGTGAGAACACAGAGTCCTAACCACTGGACTGCCAGGAAATTTCCAGCAAATTACTTTTAAAAGTAGGAACATCCTTTTCTAAGGAATAAAACAATAAGTCTACAGGTTGTGACAAATTATAAGAAAGTAATAGCTATTTAAGGAGGTACTGTTTGTTGAGCAAATGCTTACTAGTAATAAATTAAGCATTATGATATACTCAAATGTTTTAAGATTAAAGGATTAATTATCATAACTATGCAAGAGAACAGAAATCTCTCCTAAGTACATACCATCCTTATTCTTAATGCAAGCTTGAGTAATGTAATCCAAGTGTTTCTGAATTTGCTTTTGTAATGCCTTTTCTCGTATTCCTCTGAGATGGAGCACTTTGAGCAAAGCTTTTAGGTCCTCTGGGTCAATAATTCTCCACCAACCAAACTGCATTTCTAAGTTAAAATAAATATGTAGATCTTTTTATAAATATATTGAATATGAATTAATGGCACAATGCAAATAGAAAGATTTATAACTAAACATATAATCCTCAAAGATTCAGTTATCATGTGGAATCTATAACAATAAAATTAAGTAAGTGACTATAAACCATACCTTCTGGAATGGGTTTTGGACTAGGAAAATCTACTGGTTTTGCTACTTCAACAACTGCAGGTTGAATTGAAGAGACTTTTTCATTCTGTGGTACTGGAGATTCACTTTTACTTGCTGCAACATTAGGAGTCACGAATGTATTACTATTTCCTTCTGACAATCCCAACCCTGATCCCAGATTAGGTAAAGGTGATGTAAATGGAATATTGGAAGTAAGCACGCCAGCAGGCCACCCACAAAACTGGAGTCCCATCATAGACACTCCACTTTTCACCTGCAAGAAACAAAACATTTTAGAAGTAGGACAATCTAAGGAGTTAGAAAAAGTGTTTACAACCAGAATTGTTTTTAAAATTCTGAAAAAATATTCTTTCACATATCACAATTAGAGGCAGACTAAATACAACAGTAACAGTGTTAAATTTCATGTTTTGTTTGCTCCTCAAAGTAATTTCTTTTTAGATAATGTAATAATAATAAGCTAAAAAGTAGTTAGAGAAGTCTTTAACTTAGATATAAGTAGTTCCAATGAAGTTTGGTGATAACAATTTTGGCTCTTCAGTTTTCAAGCCACGGCAGGGATAATTATAACATTGAACTGATTTCCCTTAAGAGAAAACATTTACGGGATCAAAGATTAGACAAAGCAACATAAACATGAGTTACAATTTACAGCACTAACCTGAAGAGGCGATAAAGCAAATGGATTTAGGCCAACAGGATTCTGAGCTGATGATCCAAGAAGAGGAGCTGGGGTGGGTGAAGGTGACTTAGATAGTGGCTGAGACTGAGGGGTCACTAAAGAAGCAGTTGACATGCCGGCATGGGTGAGTGATGTGTCATCACAAGGTGTCCTTGGCAAAAGGCTAAACCACTGTCTATTCTTTTCAGTTAATGTCTTTAACAACTGGTCATTGGGGAGAGGACTATAGAACTTCCCTGGACCACCTGAACTGGTATTGAACAGATTATTGGAGTCTGTCTTTTCCATGTTGCTTTGTGTTGCTGTTGACTGAATGCTGCCCAATGAATGTTTTCCACTGTTTTGATATGACAGTGTGCATCCATTTGCACTACTATTTGGTTTGGGGGTCATTACATCTGACTCAGGAGGCATCTTAGCTACTTCTAAAAGTTTGCTTAATTTTGAAAAAGAGCCAGGTTTCTGAAGAAACAGATTTGTGTTATCTTTTTCTTTAGTATCTTCCTTTTGCTCACAGTGATCTGGATTTGAACAATTTAAAGTGTCCTCAGAAGTCTCGAATATTTCTTCTTTGATTTGGATACTTTTTGCCTTTTTTAGTTTTTCTCTTTCTTTTGCAATTTCTTCCAGTCCTAAAAAATTGAAAAGCATTATAAAACTTTATTACTCCAGATCAAACCAATACTATGTAATTATATTCTTTTACTACTTATCAAGTTACATGCATAAATATTTTTAGGAAACCTTTGTAGATTACATAATACTCTCCATTTCCCCCTTTTTTATAGATTAGATTTTTTGCTCATTGGAAAATTAATATAATTTTGTAACTAATAATTACAAAAAACTAAAATTAAAAAAAATTTAAAAGCTCTAATATACAGCAAAAATTACTATTAATATTTGTGAATAACATTTGCAGGCCTTCTATATGCACATACATATACACTTAAACCTATAAATTTTTAAAAAAGTAAATCTTATTATATACATAATATTCTAACCTACGTGTTTTGCTCCGTAAACATCCTGATATGTCAATAATTGCATAAATAAATAAATACATAACACATACATAAATAAATAATACATACATAAATAAATACATAACTACATAAATTTTAATGGCTATAGAATACTCAGTGGAATACATCATCAATTTAAATAATCCATCTTCTACTAATGGCTATTAATAGGGCCCAGTTATTTGCTATTATAAATAATGCTATAAATGATGATGTGCATCTGTATCTTTGGTCTTACATTAAAAAAAAAAAAATTTACTTCCTTAGGATACTTACTGAGTACTAAGATATATACTTTTCAGAGTTTTTGAAGTACGTTGACAAACCAAAAGCTTAGATCAACACACATTCATACCAGAAGTAAGAGCATCTGTTTGCCTACACCCGCAAGGAAACTAAATACTATCAATGTTTTTTGTTTTTGCCAATAGCTGGGAGATAAAAATTAAAACCTCCTTTTTTTTCTCTTGATCGCCAGTAAGGCTGAATATCTTTTCATGGGTTTATTCGCATTTCTCCTTTGTGAACTTCTGGTTCATATTTTTGAACAGTGTTTCAAAAATAATTTATAAGAATTATTTTAAAAATATAAATTCAGTACTTTATTCAATTTGAAAAGTAACCTATGTTCAAGGTAAAATATTCAGTAATGACAGGTATAAATTAAACCGTTTCTGCCCTACTCCCTCAGTCCCTGTTTCTATTCTTCAGCGGTAACTGTGGTTAATCAATCATATCTATGTATCCTTCTAGAAATCTTATATACATATATATCAATATGACTATCATTTTGCACTATTACAGAAATGAGACACTATTATTCACTCTTCTGCAACCTGGAATAAAATGTTAACTTCTAAGCAAGGCCTACAATGTAGGCCTACAATGCTGAAAATTTCTATAACCTCTGACCATTCTTGTACTTGCTAAAGTTTGCTCTTTTCTCCCCTTTCTTCAGCTTCTGAGACATGCCCAGTTCTTTGCTTTCTGGGGCACTTTGCACTCGCTGCTTCCTCTGTCTGGGAGACCATTTTATTGACCTTGCTCCTTATCCTTCATGTCTCAGATCAAGTCATTTCCTCACAGAGGTTTTCTCTGATCAAGATAGGTTTCTCTGATCTGATAAAGGTTTTCACTTTATCTAGAGTAGAATTCCTAGCTATTAAGAATTTTCTTAAATCTGTTTTTTAATTATGTTTATTTTTAATTGATTGATTATTGCTTTACAATATTGGTTTCATTTCTGCCATACATTAACATGAATTACCCCCTGGGCTAGGGATTCTACTCTAGATAAAGTGAAAACCTTTATCCGATCAGGGAAACCTATCTTGACCTTTATTTATTTTATTGACATAGAGCTGATGTACAATATTATATGTCACAGGTATAAAATGTAGTGATTCACAATTTTTAAAGGTTATATTCCTGTTATAGTTATTTAAAAATATTGGCTATATTCCCTCGGTTGTGCATTATACCACTGTATCTTATTTTACCCATTCACTTTAGGTTATCATTCTATATATTTTCTTCACAGAATTTATCATTATAAACAATAATCTATTTGTTCCTTTTCTCCACCTCCATCCACACACCAGAATTTAAATTAACAAGCTTTACTTAAAAGCACAGCAATGTCTATCTTGCTTGTTATTGTATCCCAAATGCCTAACATGGTGGCTGCTATAAAATAGAAGCTCAATAAATATTTCTTGAATGATAAAACAAAAGGAGGGATATTTAATTGGCTTGGGGCTGTGCTCATTTTTGTTTGTAGCTTCTCAGATGATTCTTATTACAGTTAAGGGAAAGCCACTCTGGGATATTTCTTTGTTTTTTAGCTTCAAAAAGGCTTTGTACCTTCAAGTGACTCACAATTTTGTTATTTTAAATTAGATTTCTATTGATTATATGGTAATTCTAGTTTCAATTTTTTTGAGGAGCCTCCATGTTGTTTTTCTTAAATCTGTTTTTTAATTATGTTTATTTTTAATTGATTGATTATTGCTTTACAATATTGGTTTCATTTCTGCCATACATTAACATGAATTAGCCATAGGAGTATATTTGTCCCCTCCCTCTTGAACCTCCCTCCACTTCCCACCCTTGCCCACCCCTCTAGGTTGTTACAGCACCCTGGTTTTAGTTCCCTAAGTCACTGAGCAGATTTCCATTGGCTATCTATTTTACATATGTTAGTGTATATGCTTCCATGCTACTCTCTCCATTCATCTTAACCTCTCCTCTCCTCCTTCCCTGCCCTTGTCCATAAGTCTGTTTTCTATGTCTGCATCTCCATTGCTGTCCTGCAAATAGGTTCATCAGTACTGTCTTTCTAGATTCCACATAGACGCATTAATATACAGTATTTGTTTTTCTCCTTCTGACTTAATTCACTGTTTAATACACTCTAGGTTCATCTATCTCATTAGAACTGACTCAATGTGTTCTTTTTTATGGCTGAGTAGTATTCCATTGTATATATGTACCACAGCTACTTTATCCGTTCATCCTGTCAATGGACATCTAGGTTGCTTCCATGTCTTATCTATTATATATAGTGCTGCAATGAACACTGGAGTACATGTGTCTTTTTCAGTTTTGGTTTTCCCAGGGTATATGCCTAGAAGTAGTATTGCTGGGTTGTAGGGTGGTTTTATTTCTAGTTTTTTAAGGAATCTGCATACTCTCTTCCATAATGGCTGTAACAATTTACACATTATTTTCCATTGTGCCTGTACCAATTTACATTCCCACCAACAGTATAAAAAAAGGTTCCTTTTTTCTCAATATTCTCTCTCACCAGCACTTGTTACTTCTTGTCTTTTTGATAACAGCCATTCTGACAGGTAAGAGGTGATATTTCATGAGGATTTTGATTTGATTTATTTTTGATTAATGATGTTGAGAATCTTATCATGTACAATCTGTGTGTCCTCTTTGGGAGAATGTCTATTCAGAAACTCTGCCTATTTTAAAATCAGATTGTTTTTCTCCTGTTGAATTGTGTAAGTTCTTTATACATTTTGGATGTTAGTCCCTTATGAGATATATAATTTGCAGATATTTATCCTCATTTAATAGGTTGCCTTTCATTCAAGATTTCCTTTGTTATACAGAAGTTTTTTTAATATGATTAGTACCACTTATTTTTATTGGTTATATTAACTTATGATTTTAATTAATTTTCCATGCTTATTTTTAAATATTTTAAGCAAAAAGTTAAAAAAAGAACCACCACACTACCCNTCGTCCCCTTCTCCTCCTGCCTTCAATCTTTCCCAGCATCACGGTCTTTTCAGATGAGTCAGTTCTTCACATCAGGTGGCCAAAGTATTGGAGTTTCAGCTTCAGCATCAATCCTTCCAATGAATATTCAGGACTGATTTCCTTCAGGATGGACTGGTTGGATATCCTTGCAGTCCAAGGGACTCTCAAGAGTCTTCTCCAACACCATAGTTCAAAAGCATCAATTCTTTGGCACTCAGCTTTCTTTATAGTCCAACTCTCACATCCATACATGACTACTGGAAAAACCATAGCTTTGACTAGATAGACCTTTGTTGGCAAAGTAATGTCTCTGCTTTTAAATGTGCTGTCTAGGTTGGTCATAACTTTTCTTCCAAGGAGCAAGCGCCTTTTAACTTCATGGCTGCAGTCACCATCTGCAGTGATTTTGGAGCCTCAAAATTTTGACATATAGTAACATATATATACTTTTTAGTAATATATATGTTTTAATGCTACTCTCTCCATCTGTCCCCCACTCCTCCCCCACCCTCCATGTCTGCAAGTCTGTTCTCTATGATTGCGTCTCCATTGTGCTGTGCTGTGCTTAGTTGCCCAATCGTGTCCAACTCTTTGCGACCCCATGGACTGCAGCCCAACAGGCTCCTCTGGGATTCTCCAGGCAACAATAGTGGAGTAGGTCTCCAAGCCCTCCTCCAGGGGATCTTTCCAACCTAGGGACGGAACCCAGGTCTCCTGCATTACAGGTGGATTCTCTACTGTCTGAGCACCAGGGAAGCTCAAGAATGCTGGAGACGGTAGCCTATCACTTCTCCAGGGGATCTTCCTGACCCAGGAGTTGAAGTGGGGTCTCCTGCATTGCAGGTAGATTCTTTACCAGCTGAGCAACCAGGGAAGCTCCACGTCTCTACTGCTGCCCTGCAGTAGGTTCATAATTACCATCTTTCTAGAGTCCATATATATGCATTAATATATGGTATTTGTTTTGCTCCTTCTGACTTACTTCACCCTGTATAACAGGCTCTAGGTTCATCAACCCCCCTCATTAGAACTGAGTCAAATGCGTTCCTTTTCCTGGTTAATATTCCATTGTCTATATGTACCACAACTTCATTATCCATTCATCTGTTAGTGGACATCTAGACTGCTTTCATGTCCTAGCTATCTGTGATGAACATTTGGGTACATGTGTGTTTTTCAATTTTGGTTTCCTTGGATATATGCCTAGGAGTACAACTGTTGGGTCATACGGTAGTTTTATTCCTCATTTTTAAAGGAATCTCCAAACCTCCATACTGTTCTCCATAGTGACTGTGTCAACTTGCATTCCCACCCTTTATAAAAGTGTAGTTGCATTGCTAAAAACAAAATGTTAAAAACAACTGCTTTATATGATTTGTGTTCTAGATCTAGACATCTATGTGATTAATCAATCCCCTCTCTTCAAAGGATTGTTAAATTTCTATGTGGTATGTATTATGTTTTATATATCTTTCAACCTCCTGCAGTACCTAGAAATGCCTGGCATATACTAGGAATTTTTAAAAAACTGTGTTGAAAGAAGTATTTTGCTTCCATGTGCCACCACGGGGCAACAGCTATATCCCAGAACCTATAAACACTGACATAACACTTTTGGCCCCATCAGAATTTAAACATTTGGAACCATCCAGATACAAAATTCTGAAAAGTTCAACTCAGATGGTTTACTGAGAAAATACATACATTCTATTATATGCTAGTTAATGGAACAGGAATGGAGCCAGCAAAAAATATAGTCCAAAGGTAGACTGTAGGATTGTGTGGTAATACGAAACTCAAGTAAGGAAGCTTCATGGAGGAGGAGATGACCACAGATTTCAAATATGAACAAGATTTTAAGATGAGTGATGATGAATAAGGGTCTTAGATTGAAGCAAGTTACCTCCAGGGATACTATCAGAATGGATACTTGCTGCAAAAGTTAAAGAATAAACCACATGTTGGAAAACTTCACAATGGAAAGGAACAGAAGTGAAGCAGCAGTTATAAAGGATAATATAGTGGAAGATCTTTGTTCACTAAATAAGAAAAAGAATAGTTTATGTTTGCTGTCAGAGAGTGGCAGAAAAAAATCATGGAGAGAGAAGGAATATTTATCAGAGCAAGGGGCATTATGAATTCAAAAGGAATGGGAATCAAGGTTTTACAGTGTTTATCCATAAAGGAAATTTGATTCTGGAAGCACAACACATATTGGAGGAGTAACAGGGCTTTAAAAAATATGGTTCCTTGTATTACTTTGTAACAGATTAATAGTTCCTACCTTCACCACTCTCCATGCCTTCTACAAAAATCCCCCCACACTGGGGAAGAATCCAGTACCGGCGTCTGTAACGATCCTGGCCAAACATCATCGAACGTAAAGAGTGAGAAGCGTCAAAGAGCTTCCTTCTGTACTGACTCTGTTGCTGTTAAAAAACGATGCATAAAATTAAGCTCTGAGTGTTAAGTGCTGTAAAAATTAATATGTAAGTGACTTTATCACTCTTATGCCTTTAATAAAGGCAGATAAATTAAATAAAAGCAGATAAATTTCACTAGTGAGTAAAGAGAGCAAAAAGAGTTAAATATTACATTCCTGACTTCAATTTCAGTAACACTTATAACGACAGAAATCACTTTGAGGGTAAGAGGAATATTTTTGTTGTCATGGATTAAAAAGATAAGTTTTATTTTATCAAGTGTCATACAGTAAAGCATGTCTTACACTTGACAGTGAACAATGCAATGTGATCAAGTATTTCACTGAATTTTGGCTTAATTCTACTTATTACAATATATAACAAATAATATTCATATACATAATTGACCAGACCTGTATTTGCCTATTTTTATATTCATGCTATAAACCTAGGTAACATATGACTAAATTTGGGGATAAATTTGTACTATATATCCCTATGGATATAATATACAGGTATATCATAATATCAGTCTCATAATATTTTTAAAAACTCATTTTTTAACAGAAAATTTATCTAAAACTTTACTAATTCTACTGAATTCAATTTTTAATGAAATTCATAAATATGTATAGTGTATAAATCCAATGCAAATAAAATCTACAAACATACTAATATAAAATAAAACATAAGATGCAGAAACTATTACTATAAAGTTCGACTAAATTTTAGAAGTAATTAATTCCAAGATACAAAACCATGTAATTGTTGGTATTTTGTATTTAAAAGAAGAGCTGAAGAATATAGGCCCTGGTTAAGTTTAGTATCATGTCTTAAGAGACAGGTTTTTAACCTTAGCATTAACTTATTAAGGTATAACTATAAGAATGTTTCTAAATCTCAGTTTAATTAGTTACTGTTTAAGCCTGTTTTTATTTAGCAGCCAGAAAAACTAATTCCATACAAGGTGGATTTTTGAAGTGCTGCCAAAAAAAAAAAAAAAAGTCTGAAAAATGCTTACTTTACTCAGTTTTTCAATCTGTTTTTCTAGCTCTTCCACACTTGCTGCTTGGTCACCTTCATCCTATACATAACAAAATACAGTATCATTCACATTTTTAAGATTTATTTAGTCAATCAGCAAATATTTAGTGAAAGCCTCCTATATGCAAAGTACAAAGACAGGCACAATGGAAATGAAAAAGACTCAGTTCTTGGTCTTGATAAAGCATTAACCTGGTAGGGAGACACATGAAACATTACACTAATAAATAAAAACTGCCAAACAGCAGAAAGCTCTATGAACCTCAAGAGCGGTAGAGATTAAGAGTCATGGAGCTCAGGGAAGGGTGAGATTACTTCTAGTGGGAACCTGTACCAAGGAAGGCTATATGGAAGAAGTTGTGTTTTAGCTTTGTTAGGCATCGATTCATCAGAGAAAAGAGGACATGGAGAGTTTGAAGTGAAGAGATAAGGAGGAAGATGAGGCAAAGATGACTTTGGGGCTACACTGTCTAGAGCTGTAAATGCTTGGCAATGGACAATAATATGATCCTTTGAGGGAGACTAAATATCAAAACTATGCTTTACAAAGATTAGTATGGTAATAGCCGTAAGATGGCCTGGAGCAGGGAAAGGACGACAACTGGCAAATCTAGTTAGTAGATAGTTGCAGTAATTCAAGAGGAAAAGAGGATGTGGGTCTTACTAGGATAAAAGGAATAGAAAAGGAGAAAAGGAAATGGATATAAGAGATATAGTTAGAACTGTTAAATTCTGGCAACTCATGTGTGTGAGGCAGAGAGGGGTGAAGGAGATGAAGGAAGGAGTAAACTATGATATTAAGGTTTTAAATCTGGGAAACTGAAAAATACTGGTACATTAACTGAAAGAGTCATTTTACAGCAAAAAAGAGTAAACTGTACTCTGAACACATTGAACTTTTAGAATAATCATCTCTTCTATAAATGGTACTGATTTCATAAATAGAAATTTTGCAATTATATGAAATTTTTCATTCTAAAAAATGAATATGGGAAAGCAACACCCAAAGTATATGTTTTAGAGGGAAAGCATGAATTAATATAAGGTATATGTACTTCAAGTGAAAGTGAAAGTGAAGTCGCTCAGTTGTGTCCAACTCTTTGCAACCCCATGGACAATAGCCTACCAGGCTCCTTCGTCAATGGGATTTTCCAGGCAAGAATACTGGAGTGGGTTGCCATTTCCTTCTCCAGGAGATCCACGGATTGAACCTGGGTCTCCCACACTGTAGGCAGACACTTTACCATCTGAGCCACCAGGAAGTCCTTATGTACTTCATTGGACCTCAGCTGCAGCATAGGCTACATATATAGGCAAATCATTTAACTCTCCCAAAACTTTTTCCTAATCTGTAAATTGGTGATAACATTATCTGTAACATGGGACTTCCGTGAGAACTAAGAACAATTCTGGGGCTTCCCAGGTGGCTCAGTGGTAAAGAATCTGCCTGCTAAGCAGGAGATGCGGGTTTGATCCCTGGGCTGGGAAGATCCCCTGGAGAAAGAAACTGGCAATTCACTCCAGTATTCTTGCCGGGAAAAATCTCATGGACAGAGGATCCTGGCAGGCCCAAGGGGTCATGAAAGAGTTGGACATGACTTAGCGACTAAACAACAACAACAACAAAGAACAGATCTGAAAGCAACTAGCAAATTTTCTGGTACATAACATATAAATAAGGTTATTTTCTTTCTTTCTGAAAGACGTACTTTAATGAGAAACTGCAGGTACATCTCAGATTTAAAAAATATAAGCACTTGTTCTTGGTGTTCACTTTTAATAAGGCTTTTTTAAAAGTCATAATGCCACCAACTATTCTCACAGATATTTCTAAACCAGTATAGTTATCTCCCCAATAAAAGGAAGGGAAAGGAAAACTTCAATAGTTTTACCATTAGCTATCTATGCTTTACCCAAATTTATGAGACCCAATTTCCAAAGGCATTTAGGCATATTATTTATGGTAATAATAACATCATTTCTATTTAAAAGAGAATAGGCCTAATGATCCTTAAATCTTGACTCTTTAATTAAACAGATACTTAACTGCTGTATGACTATGTAGTGATCTTTTGACCAGCAGGATAAATGTTTGATAATTTGCTTATACAGAAAACAATTCAATCAACAAATATTTGAAGTAAGACATCAAAGTAACTATGTATTACTCAAATTAACTAACTACCATTTCTAAGACTTTTCTTACAAAAAAAAAGAAGTAAAATATCTACTAAAGTTTTATTTAAAGGAGTTTTGGTTAATATTCCTCATAATTTTAAGAGATATGAAGAATCTGAAAAGCCAGAGAGAAAGCAATAACAGCAAAATTAAGAATACAGAATCTATGCCTGCCATGCTTTCCCAATCAGAAGAGAAGGCTGTTATATGTCCCTCTATGTCAAAGTTTAATTGTCCATATAATCTCCTACACACCACCTTGTGAGGTTAAAGTTCACAAAGATCTCAACACAAACCTAAGGATTAGGGAGAGTTCATATGTTGAAGGAATGAAGAGTGAAGAAAGGAGGGAATCACCCTTAAGACAAAGGGCTGTGACTTAAAGGGCATTATCTTCTAATTCAGTGGTCCCCAACCTTTTTGGCACCAGGGTCTGGTTACATGGAAGACAATTTTTCCACAGACTTGGAGGGGGGATGATTTTGGGATGATTCAAGCTTATTACATTTATTGTGCACTTTATTTCTATTATTATTAAACCAGCTCCACTTCAGATCATCAGGCATTAGATCCCAGACCCCTGTTCTAATTGAAAGGGATCACATGGGTCTTACTGGAAAGGCTCCTGCAATTAGTCCTTTATGTGGTATTAACAACTGACACCACATATACTTAATCAAGAAGCCAAACCTATTTTTGGAGGAAAATCAATCAGATTCTTTAAAAAGTTAACCTTTAATTTTATTAGGAAATTGGTAAGTGGCTACAAATTCTTAATTATAAAGAAAAACTCTCAAATCATGTAAAAGAAATGTTTCTTTGGTCTCTTAGATCCTAAAATATTACTTATTTTTAAACACTTTTGAACTGTTTTCTCACTTTAATAACAAGATACACATTTGCCAGGATTTTGATCAATCTAATTAACTCTATAATTCAATGTTCATAAAAATAAAATACTACTTTAAAACGACACATCGTCTTAAAATGTCAATGATTTTTAAATCATTAATACTGATTTTTAATAGTTCTTTTATCTCCCTTAAAGAAAACAATTTAGAGTTTGTTAATTCTCCATGTGAAAAATGCCAAGTGAAACACAATTTCTGTAAATAAATTCTCGTTTAATGGCGTGACTATCCACTAGAATGCACTGATATCCGAACATAAAGTCGTCACATTTATGAGAGCTAACACTTTAAAATAATTATAATATTAAGTGCTGAAATGTTATGCTAATTCTGTTTTTTAAAAAAGTGATTAATATTGATCAAAAAAGTTTAATTTCTGCTAAACAGCTCCACTTGCCAAAGGAAGCAGACTGGTTATAAATAGTATCTTTGGGTAATTACAGTTCTGATACCCAAATTATATACCCTTTTGTCACAGCATGAGAGTATTTGATCAAGTGATTTCAGAAGAACAACATTATGAAGTAATTCCTGCAAGGATCTCACAGTAGTCTTCTTTTCAGCCTGCTACACTTAAAATAAGTAAAGCTCACTCTAGCAAATCATTCTGGTTTAAAATATGTAATTTGTGAAAATATTTTGCATTTATGCTATTTTTTACTTAAGAGAATTGTATAGCACATGATTTTATAAATAACACTATTATTCAGATGAAGTAAAAATTTGATTTAGTAATATCATTGGTCTTGATCAGATATTATTTTCACATACTATATCAATAATCCATCTTTCTAAGCTTTATTTCTCCAGCAATATGGAGTTGATACAAGAAAGGAAAAGAGTTTTTTCTAGACTTCCTTCACTAAATAATCCTGGCTTTGAAGGAAGAATGCTTGGCTGTATTTGTTTTCAGAATGCCATTTCTTCAACCCTATCAATATTTCTAGCATTCTTTTCTTGTAAAAGGTAAACATTAACCTTTATCTCCTTTTTATACATGTCCATTTCCATGGCTTATGGTAGCTTTCCTTAAAAACACACACATACACACACTCCTCCATTACCTTGCCTTCTCCCCTTTAGCCTACTCTTCAAAGTTATCCCACCTATCTTTACCTTAACAGAATCCCTCTAATATCTCTAGGGACCTTATACTATTAATTATTTTCTTTTATCGCTTTAATCTTCCACACCTATCTCTCATTTTACTGACTCTCCCTTCAACCAAAAACAGTCTCAAAACTTCTGCATCTGAAAAATCCCTGTCTTTGTCCTCCTTTAGGAACTACCCTTTCTTTTGAGGTATAATGCTTGAGACAGTCATGTTCACTTTCTCACTTTTCATTGTTTTCAAACAATTCTAGCCTTGCTTTGGCGCTCACCCCTCTAAAGAAATGGTGCTGGCATTGGTAACCAAACACCTCTGTGATGGCGAATACAACAAACACATTCAGTCCTCCTCACATTACCCTCCTGCTCCTTTAACATTAAAATGATAACAACAATTGGACTTATTCATTATTTTTGGCTGTCCTGGGTCTTCGCTGCTGCGTGGGTCTTCTACAGTTGCGGCGAGCGGGGCTTACTCTCTGGCGGTGGTGTGCGGACTTCTCACTGCGGAGGCGTCTCTCGTCTGGAGTACGCGCTCAAGCGCGCGCGGGCTCAGGAGCCGTGGCTCGGGGGCTCCAGGGCAGCGGCTCACCAGCTCCAGGGCAGCGGCTCACCAGCTGTGGAGCACAGGCTTAGCTGCTCTGCAGCATGTGCCATCTCCCCGGGTCAGGGATTGAACCCGTGTCTCCAGCATTGGCACACAGATTCTTTACCACTGAGCCACCAGGGATGCCCTCCCTTAACGCTGCTTATAATTCCCTCTTTTTAAAAATGTTTAAGTTTCTTGACTCTTATTATTATTACATGGGTGGAAAAGAGTTAACATTGTAGGTCTTTGAAAGTTGGCTTACAAAGCTGATCCTTGGCTAGCATCTGGGAACCTGAATTTTGGAGGGTTCCCCAACCCAGAGTGACAAGAATAGCTTGCTCGATCTAAACTGTGCTAAGTGTGGTTTATACCGAACACCTACTTTTTTGTGGAAGGGGGGAGGCTGGAGTTTTGGCACCTTGTATGCAGAGGATGCCTATGTGGCCATCCCTGTATAAAACTCTGGGGACAGTATCTATTGAACTTCCTTAGAACAAAACATTTCAGTTGCGACACAATTTAAATGTCACAACACACTGCTAGGAGAATTAAGCCCATTCTTTGTGACTCTAGTGGGAAAAGACTCTTGAAAGCTGGGACTGATTTCCTCTGGACATTGACCCATGTGCCATTTCTCTTTAATGGTTTTGCTTTGTTTTTCCTTTTGCTGCAATAACTTGTAGCCATAGCATGACCAGAAGCTGAGTTCTGTGAGTCATTCTAGTGAGTCATTGACTTTGGAGGCGGTCTTGGTCTTGGCAATCCCTGACCCACTACAGAAATTTTCTACCTTTGTGCATTCTTCAACAAGAAGTCCTGAAGGCTCTTCTTAATCACTGACATTCCCTGAGGTTCCAATCTCAGTTTACTACTCTCACTAATAAACCAATTCTGTGCAAACTAATCCAACTCATTATTTAAACTATTGTCTATGTACTAATAACTTCCAGATCTACATTTTCAAGACCGAACTCTTCTCCAGGCTTTGGGTTTTTAAATCCAACTGACTGCTAAACTGCTCAGGCACCTCAAATTCAACATGTTCAAAATAAAACCTAGTATCATTTCCTAACTTCAGATATTTGTTCTATATTCCTCTATTCGGCTGTCATCTATTTACTTTGCTCCTTCTGGATTCTTCTCTTTTTTTAATGGCTGATGCAGTCTTGTTTTTCTTAAAGCATTATTTATTTATTTATTTATTTTTGGCTGCACTGGGTCTTCATTGTGTTGTGTGGGCTTCCTCTAGTTTCGGGGGGTGGGGGTTACTTTTCATTGTGGTGCACAGGCTTCTCATTGTAGTGGTTTCTCTTGTTGCACAGCACAAGATCTAGGCACACGGGCTTCAGTAATTGCAGCACATGGGCTGAGTAGTTGTGGCACATGGGCTTAGTTGCTCTGCAACATGTGGAATCTTCCTGGACCAGGGATGGAACTCATGTCCCCTGCATTTGCACATGGATTCTCATCCACTGTGCCACCAGGGAAGTCCCTCCTGAATTCTTTAGATCAGGTAGTGGCAACAAAAGCAGGTAGTCCCCTACCAGAAAGCTGGAATCAATCCTCTCTCTCCCTCCATCAACCTACACAATCCATCTTCGAAGACTATTTATTTTTCCTTCTCAATATTTATTGAGTCTTTTCCTTCCATTGGTCTATTTTCAGACCTGTCACAATTCACCTAAACCAGAGCAGTCTCTCCTGACTGATCTTCCCACTTCTGATCTTGCTCTAGCCAAATCTATTTCTGTTTTCCACAGAGTTGACATAGTGAGCCACTGAAAAATCAAGTCTGACCAGGTCCTTCCATCACTTTTAACCCTTCAATGGCTTCCTATCACCATAAAACTATAAAATCCTAGTTCACAGTTGTTGTATATGAGGCTGTCTAGTATTACTGAAGCACTCATAGAGCCTGTAAAGCACATTATGGTTTCAAGGCTTCTGAGTCCTTACTCATGCTATTCTCTCTGCTTGGAAGATTTTTCCATGGATTCCTGGATTCTCTCTAGGTTAACATTCAGCCCAGCTTGTAGCCTCAGCTAATGAGTTCAGAAAGCCTTTGTGATAATTTATTCCTCAGAAAGATTCAACATCCTTCTTTTGTACCTACCTAATACATTGTAAATACCGATAGCAAAGCAGTTAACATTTAACATATCATTCTTTCTTACTCTTTCTCTGTGAAACTGTAAATTGAAAGGAGAGTTTCAGTGCTTTGTTCATCTTGATTAAGGTCTACACAGAGAAAAGAATCTTAAAAAAAAAATAAGTAGAGCCGATGCAGAAAACAAATGAATGGTTACTAGGGGGATAAGGGGAAGAAGGAGAGATAAAGTGGGAGACTGACATTGACATGTACACACTACAATGTGTAAAGAGATGACTAATGAGAACCTGCTGAACAACATAGGGAATTCCACTCAGTACTCTATAACGGCCCACACAGAAAAAGAAGCTTACACACGTGTGGGTGTATGTATATGTGTAACCGATTCATTTTGCTGTACACCTGAGACTAACACAGCATTGTCGATCAACTATACTGCGGTAAAAGTAAAAGTTAAAAAAGTGCCTAGAGCCATGTACTCAATAAACTAGGATCTGAGAAATACATCAGTTTCACTACACCTGACAAAACTTTGAAGGCATTAAGTACTGTACAAAATAAACATAAGATAGCACATTAATTGAATTTAAAAAATACCTAAATTAAGAATATGAATAGTTCTTTGGAGAATGCTCAAGTTATTATACAAACAGAAAAATTTAACTTCTTTTATTCAACGTAAGTACCTTCTATGCATAGAAGTTCTATTCAATATTTACCTAAGCACCACAAAAAACCCTGAGGTAAATATTATAATATTCAGTTTTCAGATGAATAAACTGTGTTGAGTGTCACAATGGAATTCAAACCCAAATCCATTTGACTTCAAATTCTGTATTATTTTCAAAATTTCATACAGTATTAGTCAAGTCTAAATTTGATTTACCTCATCTTCACAGATCTCAGTCTTCTTTCCTTTTTTGTCTTCTTTATCTTCTTCATCTTCATCATCTTCATCAGCTTGGTCATCACTATCATCGTCATCATCATCATCATAGTCACTGTCTCCTCCCTTCCTCCTTCTTTTTCGTCCTGGAGTGGGTGTGCCCAATGGATGCTGTTCTTCTCCAAGATCAATGCCACCTGAAGTGTCTCTTTTGCCTGTTTTCTTAGCATGAATGATTCTGAGCCTTTAAATATGAAAAAAATGATGATACAGAAGAAAAGGCTTCCCTCTGTACTTTTCAAATATCATACTATGAGTTTTAAGCATGTGGTATTTCTCTCAAAGTAACCAATATATCAATGACAATAAAAATTAGAAGAAATATGTTCACAGAAATTATAAAATATGTTAACTTTTAAGAGTTATACTATCTCTTTGGAATTAGAATACATTTTTTTAAAAACACAGAAAACTGAGATTAACTCAGGAATGGCCAAGTAATAGTTCTTGATCCTATATTATCTGACTGAGTAAATTTCAATTCAAGTCACTGCAAAGAAACTATCATCTTAACATAGAAGTTGAATAATTTCAGCATTATATTTCCTGGCAGGAAGCTAATTGAGTTTTAATGCTGAATATATTTGGATATGTTAGACTCTCTGTAAAAGCAAACTGTAATTAGAAAGCAATTAAGGAAAAATGTGGTAGCTCCAAACAGATTCTATTTATGACAAAAGTAACCTGAAACAACAATCTTTGAATATATGATTGCTTGACTTCTTTGAAAGAAAGATAAATTGACTTTCTTTTAAGTTTGAAGCATGTGAGTTCAGTGAATCTCATTATATCTTTTGTCCACTGAAAACTCTGCCTCTGAGTTTTATTAATTTTATATCTCAGCTTAATTAAACTTTGCCATTTCTAATTTTTAGACAAAACAAATTCCATCTTTGCACTTAGTATGCTTTATTCAGAAATTTGTGAAGAAGGAAAACAGTATATTAGTTTTAATAAAATAGGACTTACTTGCGGAGTTTACCTTCTACCACCCATTTATCTCTCCTTAAGTTTGACATATAATCAATGTTCTTGTCGATTTCACTGCCAATGCAAAAGTTTATTAGAAGACATAAATTAATACATAATGCAATACATTAATTTGGTAAATAAAATGATGCAGATTTTTGCTAAGTACAAATGATGATTGTCAATGAATAGCAAAAACAAATGAAAAACTATACTAATACATAGCTAAGAGATGTAGAGAAAACTTAAAACATCCAGCAATGGTAGAAACGCATGGCTCTGAAATATTTGGATTGATTCTTTCCCTAGAAAGGTAAAGGAATAAAAGTAACATAATTAAAATCTGTAAAATAATGAATAGCAAGAACAAGATGAACGAGGAATTTGTTCACCAAATCTTCAAATATTATAGTGGAGAACTTTGACTCTTAAATGAGATTACGTATTTTTTTTTAAGTGCAAACTAACATGCAATAAACAAATAATATTAAAATGTATCAGCATATGATAAAAAGTAGGTGGATAATTCTACAAATAGCTTCCAGCAAAAAATGAGGTAGTCATCTGCCACCAAAGATAAAAGAAAAATTCTGAGTTCTTACAACAGAACTGGATTCTAGAGTCATAGCAACAAAAAACTGTTCACATTTCAGTATACAAATAAATAATAAAATTACCAAATAAACAAGAAGTGTTACAAGGACTATACACAGTATGATTCAAAATTTCTTTTTAACAGGCTGAAAAGAAATACATTAAAATACCATTTGTCATCTCTGAATGGTGAGATTAGTATAATTTTAATTTTTTCCTTTGTGGTAGTTTGTTACTTTCAAATGTTCTATAAGCAATTTGTATTACTTTGTGACTAGACAAATTTAAAACAGAAAATAATCACCAGAAAAGTCCGGACATGTGCTTACCTCACCACACTCTTGCTGCATGCCAGTTCATTGATCAGGAAAGCCAGAACTGAGGCTTTCTGTGCTGGAGTGTGAGCCTGAAAAGCTTTCGTCTTCAGGCTTTCAGTAAGTTCAGTCTGTCCACAGTGTGCTTCCATAAAAATCTGCAAAATCTCGGAAACATTGTCTCGATTCACACCAACATTCAGCAAATGTTCTCCAAGAGCTGTTTTGGCCTATAAAAGTTTGGCATTTTTATCAGTATAAGGACTGATACTGACTCATAAAATATAAACAGTAAGACTTTTAAATATTGGTATTATATGATTTAGATATTACTGACAAGGGCTTTATTCACAATTTTTGATGAAATGGAGATAAAAACAGTCAACGGATGATCAGACAAGCTTTCAAGTACTTGTAATTTTTCCATTCCTTCTTCAAACTTGGCTAAAAGTTAGGTGTGGAGAAGAGTATGTAAATTTGTGGTTAAAAAAATCATACCTTCTTTGGCAACAGAAACTATCTGAAGGTTTTACAGGCTATATCCATCAGTAGTGGTGGGAAAGGGGTTGAAGAGTACTATTATTGTGTTTTCTGGTTCTACAGTGTCATGGATTTTATTGCCTGGTATGCTGGATGAATAGGGAGATGGAGGAAAAAGTAACAGGTGTATCTGGAAACTTCTCTCTATATAATATTATCTAGAGTAAAACTGACTGAAATGTGTATCTTAATTGGAATTAAGATAAATTTGAACTTAATGAGTATCCAAGTAGCAATACAGAGTCTTAACATGCTGTTCTACAGGGGCCTTGATTAGCCTCAGTTATTTAGAGTGATTTCAAAGAGAACACAGTATACTTTCAGAGGACACACGTAAGTTCTAACTTCTTTACAAATTTTAGAATTTTCTGTTTTGCTAAATATTACTTGGGAATTCCTTAAATAAGTTTGGTTTTTGCCAAAAGCTAAAGGAAAATAAAAGTAATTTGGGAATGATTTACATTCCTTAGGCTTTATGAACCAGGTTTTTCTAAGTTTGTACCAACTATAACTGAAGCAAATCTACATTTAACTTCGTGAGAAGCTATGTAGAAAAAATTGAGTAAGTCTATACAATCTTCTGCTAACATGCTAAAGCCAGCTATTAATGCACTGATAGTACAAATTAAAAAGATGTATTTTGTTTTTTTTTACCTTGTATCCTGTAATTAGACCTGGATCACATACAGCAGCTGAGAGGAGCCTCACAAGCAAGTCTTGTACTTCACCCATGCTGTCCCCTATATTTAGCAATCCCTCTTGAAGAACACTCAGGTTTGGAACATCAATATTCACATCAAAGCCCAAAACTTTACCAAAGTTTCGTAAGAACTGCACCACCATGAGACAGTCTGAAAATGTACTTCCAGAGAGAACAAGTCCTGGAATACGAGGCAACTCTGGCAAAGGCTGAAAATAAAAGAAAAGAAAGAAAAAATAATTTTAAAAAATAGTTTAAAAAAATCATTTAAAAATGATTTTATACCTTCGGAAGTAAGGTAAGTTGTTATTTTTCTCTGCCTTGTACCAATGGTTTTTCCCGCTAGATTATAAATTCCATGAGGGCATTTCTATAACCCCCTGGTGAAAGTGAAAGTCACTTAGTCGTGTCCGACTCTTTGCGACCTCATGGACTATACAGTCCATGGAATTTTCCAGGTCAGAAGGCTGGAGTGGGTAGCCTTTCCTTTCTCTAGGAGATCTTCCCAACCCAGGGACTGAAGCCAGGTCTCCCGCACTGCAGGTAGATTCTTTACCTAATCATAAAATCCTGAACACAAGCAGCCATTAATAAATTTTGGTTGAAATCAACATGACCTTAGATCTCTACAAAAGAGAATACTAATTTTAACTTAAATATTGACAAAACACAGGTTACATAACTGGAGAAAAAATTAGATAACATAAGAAATAAGTATCTCATGATTACTTTACCATGGACCAACTCAGTAGGGCACGTGCAACACTTTCCTCTAATGATGTCAACTGACTTATAATTCACACTTCTGGGAAGCTCAGAAACTAACCATGTACACATCTGTGGCTTGTATGGTTGGAGAGAGAGGTACCATCTTTGGCTAATGAATGTAAATAAATCACTAGGTCCACATGACAAGAACCTACAACCCTGTCAAGAAGCCAGTCAGAGTGCAACTGTCAGTCTTGAGGTTTCCTGTACCTGGTGGAACACGGATTCAGTATCAAAATGAGAGGGCTGTTTCTTTGCTATTTCTCAAATATGCTCCCATATTAACATTTTAATGACTAAATTATAATTCAGCTTTCATGGACATTAAAAAAGTTAAATAAATAAGTAATCTAAAAACATTTTCATTCATGAATACAATTCAATAAATATACTTTCAGTTATGATTGGGGAAAATGTGGCTTATAAACATTATCTGAATTGGACCCTGTTCAAAAGTGTGTCCGCTACTCTGCACTTGGTGTAATAACAAACTAAAGACTTCTTCCACTAATAGTGTGTAGAAACACAAACTGTGGATAACTGCTGACGTAATACAAATCTTTTGTTGCATATGAAAACCATTTAATTCTGTCTTCTTTTTTCCTGAATCATATCAGATATACATAATTCCATATGATTCTAAAAATTTATAAAGCAAACCAACAAAAGTAAGTCTTAAAGTACAAAGNCATATGAAAACCATTTAATTCTGTTTTCTTTTTTCCTGAATCATATCAGATATACATAATTCCATATGATTCTAAAAATTTATAAAGCAAACCAACAAAAGTAAGTCTTAAAGTACAAAGTGAATTGAAAGTGCAAGTTGCTCAGTCGTGTCCGACTCTTTGTGACCCCATGGACTATACAGTCCATCGAATTCTCCAGGCCAGGATACAGGAGTGGGTAGCCTTTCCCTTCTCCAGGGGATCTTCCCAACCCAGGAATTGAACTGGGGTCTCCTGCATTGTAGGCGGATTCTTTACCAACTGAGCTATCAGGGAAGCCCAAGTCTTAAAATGGACCTGCAAATATTTTATATGGTACATATGGACTTAAATGAAAACAAAAGGTTATTTATGATAATTTAGGATTAAAAAAGATCATTAAGGATTAGCAAGAAAATAAAGTTTATTAGGATTCAAAAAAATTGCTCAGTATGAGCTTAGTAAAACATGTTAACTAACCACTATACCTATTCTGTGCTAAGGAAATTTTAAACATACAATTGACTAAAACTAGATTATATACAGGCTTCCCTGGTGACTCAGACTGTAAAGAATCTGCCTGCAATGCAGGAGACCCAGATTCAATCCCTGGGTCAGGAAGATCACCTTAAGAAGGGCATGGCAACCCACTCCAGTATTCTTGCCTGGAGAATCCCATGGACAGAGGAGCCTAGTGGGCTATAGTCTCTAGGGTTGCAAAGAGTCTGAAGTGACTTACCAACATGTGCATACTTTCATCTTTATTTAAAAGCATTTATGCTAAGTAAGTAAGTAGAATATTAGTAAATTTAATTTTCCACTTGGGTACTAGAAGTTTGGGCTTCCCTGTTGCCTCAGCAGTAAAGAATCTGCCTGGCAATGCAGAAAACATGGGTTTGATACCTGGGTCGGAAAGATCCTCTGCAGAAGGAAATGGCAACCCACTCCAGTATTCTTGCCTAGGAAATACCATGTACAGAGGAACCTGGCTGACTACAGTCCATGGAGTCACAAAAGAGTCGGACATAGCAATGCAACACTAGAAGTTTGCTTTAAGCACTTTATAAAAGAGCTTGCAAAAATAAGAGATAATTATTATCTGTATGTCATATGGCATATGAGTAAATATAGATGCTACTGACCAAGTATAACTATTATATCATTGAGATACTATTATAGACATGATATGCATTGACACAATTTTCCAGGAATACTATCTTAACTATAACCAAACATAATTCACTTCTACTCATTAGTATGTGAAATCATACCAGCTGTTACTATGCTTCTGCTCTTTCCAAATTGCTACTTTTATGTATTTTAGCAATATTACAAATCTGTGAAGCATGATGGAAGAGACTATACACCTGAGGTACTTTGACAGGACACACTCCTTGGCTTTCAGGGTCATAAAGACTACAGGCTCTGGAGTTTAACAAAGTGAAGCCTGAATCCAAGTTGCTATATAAGTTGTGTAATCTCAGGCAAGTTCCTTAACCTCTCTGTGTTTCAAGTTTTCGCATCTATAAATGGGCAAAAATACCAGTTCCACAGGATTGCGTTGGGACCAAATGAGAAAACTCATCTGAAGCACTTAGCATTGTGCCTGGCACGAACCAAACATACTCAAGAGTTAGCTACCACCACTAAAGCATTGAAAGAGGTTATACTGCAAATCCTAATTTATTTAAATATCTATGGAAGCCTGAGGGAGGAGTTAGATCTTTCTGTTCCTAAATGCCTCGAAAAGACCAAATGAAACACAGAAATCCTATTTCTATAATTCGTTTTTATATATTTCTGCAGTATACTACTTATATTAAAAAGGTTTGCAGTGTTCCATTTATATATTAAGAACTGCTATTATCAGCACAGAGCTCTAGAGAGGTTTACTTGTAGCCATCCAGGAGAGACAGATGACCTAGACTTGGAAATACACTCCTCTAGCTAAAAACACAAGGCTTTCATAATGGCAGCTCTGGCAAAGGAATCAGATGAGAACACAGAAAAATTTAAATTTATTAATGAAATAGTTTACATGATAAATTACCTTTTGGTCTGCTAAGCACATGTCTTCATTAGGCTTCTTTAGTTCCTTTGCCATTTCTAATTCTAATCTTCGTTGCTCTAGTTTACGTTCTTTATTTAATCTTTTCTCATCACGTTTTTCTTGCTTCAATCGTTCTTTTTCCTTAAAAAGAAAACCATGTCCACATATTCTCTTTAATCATTGTGTATGTTTAAAAAACCTCCAGTTAAAATTTAAAAGGTAATCAAAGTGTTATTTCCATGAACAAAAATTCTCTTGGAATGATTAGGAATAGACTTGAAATTACAAAGAAATATTGACATTTTGCTTTTCTATGTTTTCACCCTTTGAGTTTGAAAATAACCTTATGACAAAATATCAGTATTAGTTTCAATCCTGATTATTTCATTATTCAAAATTTATTCAATCTTTTCCCAGATTATGAGAATAAAATATTAATAAAAGCAGGTATATAAAATAAACATGGACAAGTAAATATTTATTTTAAAAAGTTAATTAGTGTTAGTGAAAATTTTTGTGTAGCTCCAGGAAATAAGATTTACAGCATGAAAATAGAAACATGTTTGAATTTGCATAAAAAATAATTCAAAAGTGATTTAGCTAGTCCAAACATGTGCATCTATGATGAAATAAAAATATTATTTACCACTCTAAACAACACTTAAAAGAATATCAAATAGGTTCTGAATGCAATTCCAAAAGCATTAAAAATATTTTGGGTAATGCAACAATATGGAAATAATCTTGTTTTCTTTCTTATAGAGGATGACATTCTTTTGAAAGAAGTGATTTTCTATAATACTGGTGTCATTATTTTATTGTCATATCTCAAATACAATTCTCTTTTTAAATTGAAGTATAACTGATTTACAATACTATGTTGGTTTTTGGTGTACAACACAGTGACCTGATATTTTTACACATTATGAAATAATCACCATAAACAAATCTGGTTACTGTGTCTCCAAAGTTATTACAGTATTATTGACTGCTCCTTATGCTGTACATTATATCCCCATGACTTACTTATTTTATAACTGGACTTATTTCAACCATTTCCCACAACCACCCCTCCCCTCTGTGAAATGCTATCCTGTTTTCTGTATCTATGAGTTTGTTTCTGTTTTATGTTTGCTTGTTTTGCTTTTTAGGTTCTACATACAAGTGAAATCATACGGCTTTTGTCTTTGCAGACTTATTTCACTTAACACACTACACTCTAGGTCCACCCACACTGTAACAAATGGTAACACTTCATTCTTTTTATGGCTGAATAACATTCCATTCATATATATGCCACATATACTTCATCCACTCATTTACTGATGAACACTTGTGCTGCTGCCATGTCTTGGCTATCGTAAATAATTCTGCAGTGAACATGGGGGTGCATGTATCTTTCTGAATTTGTGTTTTCATTTTGGCTGTGGTAGGGCATGCCAAGGGGAGACAGAGGAATGGAGACGTATACGCCCAGCCAAGAGTTGAGAGAGCGTGACTGGACTGTAGGTTGCATGGTGAATAGCTGCTGGGAACTGTGACACATGGAGGTCAGGTCATGAGGACTTTTTTATAAGATATGCTCAGATTACTGCTCATTTTTATACTACTTCTAAATTTCTGGATTACTGATTCATGCAGACATTTGGGAAGGAAATGATAAAAAAAGCTTTAAAATATACACAATTAATGTGTAACAATCCCACAATGCAATACAGATTTTCAAACCAAATTATCATTGGTAGAACAATTTTGTTTTCCAGAATTAGATTTCCAATTTTTAAATGCATGAGATGTTGCTCTAAGTACTTTTCTGAAGAAGAGAAGACAACTTCGTGGTCACTTTCCAGAATAATGAATTATAATCACTAATAGGGAAAATATATTAAATGTCTCATAAATTTCAAAGTAACTGGTGTAAATTTTTCTATTATGTAGGACTAACCCAGAATTCTTAATGATGTTTTAATAGTAATCATAAATAATTGAGACTTCTCTACTATACACTAAGAACTGTTGAAAATGGTTGTAATTTTTTTTCAATAAGAAAGGGACTGTGTGACACTAATGCTCTTTTCACTACACCAACTTCACAGCAGTGGTAATCTGAGGGTATGAACACCCTTCAGCGATATGTAGACAATGAGTTAGAGTACATTTAATGCCATGAGATAAAGGTATTCTTGAATATCATTTTTACCTAGTGATATGCAGTATTTTTTGAATTAAAAAAGCAATGCATAATGTGGCATGTAAAAATGACATCTACATTTTAGGATAAAAATGGAGATTTGCAAGAAATCTTAGAAATTTACAGGAAAAGGAAACATGGAGTCTCTACATTGAATTAATTTGCTCACCAATTTATTTAGTGACTTTTATTAGATTGTATAGGACTGATACAAATCCTGTGGTTCTGCTACAAAATGACTCTCAAGGAACCAGAGCTTCTAGGATCCCCTCAATGATCAACTAATATTTAAAATAAGGACAGTCACAATCCAGCCTCACACAAGTTTTGGTCTCACATCTCATGATTCTCAGTGTATTTCCCACACTCTAGGCTCACTGTGTGATACACCTGTGTTGAAGAGATGTGTAACCAGTTTGAGGCATTGGCTGGATGACAATATGATCATGAGGAGGAGGAATAAGAAGGTGAAGAACGAAGAGGAGAGATGAAGGAGAAAGAGAAGAAGAGGAAGAGAACTAACAAGGCCAAGAGAAGTATACGGTGGTGGTGGTGGTTTAGTCACTAGGTCGTGTCCGACTCTTGTGACCCCAGGAACTATAGCCTGCCAGGTTCCTCTGTCCATGGGATTCTCCAGGCAAGAATACTGGAGTGGGTTGCCATTTCCTTCTCCAGAGAGAAGTATATACACAGAGTTAAAATCCACTAACCCTCTCTTCTCACCTTCCTCCCCCCCTAGAACCCAGAGGTCTATTTTACTTAATACATTTACTTAATACAGGTACATTAATACAGGTACTTAATACAGGTACATTTCATTGTACCTGTCAGCTCCTCTGCCTGTGATGCATAGCCCTTCTTCCTTTACATAAAACTAAAGCCTGTGTTTTTATTTTTCCCACAACTAGTTTAGGAGTTTTAATATTTCCCTTTTTTTGAGGTTCCACATAACTTATTATAGCATTCATTGCACTGAGTGGCAACTATTTGTTTAAAGTTGATCTCTTCCACTGTAGTGTGAGTTTCTAGAGGTCAGAAGAACAAATTTATCCACCTCTTTATGGACCTACTGACTCTAAGCAGTATAATTTGCCAAAAACATTCAGGAGAGTTTTTAATGATATTCTATGTCTTTGACACTCAAGCCTGTATCAGTTCAATTTTCCTCTCCAACTGGTCTAAATATTATTTTTATTTCCAACTATAATAGTTATCATATGTCTCTAATGACATATACAATGTGCTTTAGCATATAAAAATTATTTAAGCATTGAATAACTTGTTGAATGAATATATCTAGAAAGGCCACATTATTTAAATTTCAAGGCAATAACTTAATTGTCTACAAATGACTATGATATATAGCTCCTGACTATATTTTAGATTGACTATAAATAATTACAAGCAAATTAGATTATCTCCTTCCAATTTTTTTGACTTTCATTCTCAGCTATTCCTGTCCTCCGCCCAGTTCTAGATGCAGAGATTTATGAAATAAATATAGATCCTTGGACTATATCTAATTTTAAAATAAAACATCTTATAATCTTAATTATAGCAAAGAAATTTTCTATATTAAAATATTACTAATATCTTAGTTAACAAGTCAGTTGAATTTCATCTCAAAATTGAAACACCTTTCAATAGCAAATGCATTTAGATTATACTAAAGAGCCTAAAGATACATAAGGTAACAATTTAAAAAGCAGCTTTTTACTCACATAAAAAGATTATTATAGGGACTCTAAAAGCATAAATGAAAGTACTTCCAGAAATCCAAAGCAAAATAACAAAGGTATGAAATAAATGTATTCTATTTTAAAATAACAGAAGTTTAAAAACTAAACAATGAGTGTGGTAGGAGGATCTGCTATTATAAAGTTTTACAACTTGCAAAACAGGCCATTTTTAAGAGGCCATGCTGCAACGATGCCTTTTTTTGTATTTTACGACTCTACTGGGTCTCTTAGGTATTTGCTCTGAGCATAATTAGGAGAATATATTTCTTTTGACAGCAACTTGTATTTAAATTTCAAAGATATAAATATTATTTAGAGACACAGATTTACCTCAGGGTACAAGAGGAATATAAGTGTAAATAAGATTAATAATATAAGCCATTTATAGAAGACAGATATAAAGAATAAAACTGGTGCTATTTTATATCATATATTGCGTATGAGTAGAAAAATCAGGACAACTTTTAAGGGCCTATTTTTACCTTTACAAAAAATGTAAGTTTAAACAAATTAAAAATTATGAATCCATGATAAAATAAATCCTTATATTTCAAATTTTAATGAAATTATACCTTATTTGAATTAAAATATATCATTGTATTTTATAGGTATAAAATATTATTTAAAAAGAAAATTTCCAGTTATCACATTGTCATAAAATCTACCAAAGTATTATACAAAAGTCTGCACTTTAGATTGCTATTGTTTAGTTGATAAGTCGTGTCTGACTACTCTGTGACCCCATCCATTGTAGCCCACCAGGCTCCTCTGTCCATGGTGTTTTCCAGGCAAGAATACTGGAGTGGGTTGCCATTTCCTTCTCCAGGGATCTTCCTGACCGAGGGATCAACACCATCTTTCCTGCATTACAGGTAGATTCTTTCACCACTGAGCTACCAGGGAAGCCCTTATTTTAGATTAAGTATCATTAAATATTTTTAGAGTGAAAAGTGAAAGTGAAAGTGCAAGTTGAATCCAACTCTTTGCGACCCCATAGATTGTATAGTCCATGGAATTCTCCAGATCAGAATACTGGCATGGGTAGCCTTTCCTTCTCCAGGGGATCTTCCCAACCCAGGGATTGAACCCAGGTCCCCCACTTGTAAGCAGATTCTTTACCAGCTGAGCCACAAGGGAAGCCCAAGAATACTGGAGTGGGCAGCCTATCCCTTCTCCAGCAGATCTTCCAGACCCAGGAATCGAACCTGGGT